GGATGAGGATTTTAGCGCACCAAACAGCCCTCTATGGACGCCCATGGCTAGCAGTACTCCAATATCAACGTTTGGGCGTGCGGTCTCGTCAACAACTTTATCCGATCCAAATACGTTAGCCCAGATTGAACAGCTTACTAGTGAACTTAATGACAAAAACAGAGATCAGCTGTACCTTTTTGAGGAATGGCAAAGGATCTCAGGACGGCCCAATGCCGTTACCCAGGATAATGAATCTGGAGAAGAACACAGCGCTTTACCCCCACCTGACCTGGCAAAGCAGGTCATTGCAACACTGCAAGATGCCACTGTCAGGGCAGCTGAGGCAGTTCAAAATGTGAAAGATCTTCAAAGTGAGCTCTCCGGTCATGGCTTTGATGGAGAAAGTGCGGCGGAAATTATTGCCAGTATCGAAGCGCATTTCCGACATGCAAGAGTGGAGCTCGAAAGACTGGTTCCAGGAGAAACAGCAAACGCAAGCCTATCCAACTGGAAAGCTATTATTGATGCTTTAGTTGATCGAATCCACCGTTTGGTACGCGGATTAACACAGGCCAAAGATCAAATTAAAAGTGGCGAGGATCGCGAAAGAGCGCTAAGAAAGCAGTTCGATGCCACTCTATTCCGATTGGAGCAAGAGACAAAAGAGAAAAACAAATTAGGGAAATATGCGGAATCGATCGCGGAGGATACGCTTAACATGCGCATGAAGCTACAGAATATGGAAAGAGACATGAAAGAGCAAGAAACAGACAAGATCCGGCTGCAAGATGCGTTAAGCAAGTATAGGGAGGACTTACTCATGCTTGAGAGGCTGAATTCAGAACTAGAAGACGAGGTGGCTGCTTCAGAGAAGAAAGCAGAGAAACTGACAATGTTGAATAACCGAATGAGGGATGCAGGCAATCTCTCCAAGGCAAGAATATTTGAGCTCGAAGGCCGCCTTAAGAGAGAGAAGGAAACGACTGCATCCATCGAGGCGTCCCTTCATCAAAGCGATTTGAAGGTCTTGGAGCTTAACAAGAAGATAAAGCTTCTTGAAACTGAGAAGGAAGAAGTGATTTCTGCCCTGGAGATGGCTGCCAAAGAACAGTCTGTCGAGCATCAGAAGGAAGTTGGAAACCTCAACCTTCGTCTGTCCGCCATCTCGACCTCGCTCAACGAAACCAAGGCCGAAAACGCAACTTTGCAGTCTGAAAAGGCACAGTTAGAGAAACGGCAGAGGAACATGGAACGTATATCCTGGAATGCAATCCGACAGACCCAGCAGAAACAGCGCGAAGCCATGAAGGCCATTGTTGAATGGCAAAACGGGATCCAGCTACTGGCCAAGGATGCTGGTCGACCAAGCACCTGTAGCGACACCATGGCTGGCCTACGACACTCCTTTAATGGTTTCGGAAGCGAGCCCATCACACCAGAGACCGTGAGCAGATTCAAAAATGTAGAGATTGGGAAGGGGAAGAAACGCAGGCGGTGTCCAGATTCCGGGGTCAACATGGTGGTTGAAGAAGATGTGTGGTCCGAGTCCGAAGCACTCCCTTCGAGTGCATGCAAGCCTACAACGGCATTTCCTATTATATCACCGATCTCTCCGCGAGCATAAGGGATACATATTTACTTTCGTCACATTTTCACATCTACCTCTCGTTTTGAATATTTCATTTGTCATAGCCAGCGTATCGAACCAGGTCTTTCTTTTTTAGAGAAATCACAGCCCTGTACCTATACTATGAGTTTCCTAATAGAATTTACTTAATATTTTCCTATAATCACTACCGATCGCTTCAAATAACAATACCTTTAAACCGTGAAAAAGCCGTTAAATTTGATTGATAGTCAAAAGGCTGTTCTTTTTATAGATCCAGCCTGCCAAGCCAACTGCTGACCGCCTTCAAACAAGCGTCTAAAACCCGAGGTACGTCATTTCGGCAGAAAAAAAAAGTGGTTGAAGCAAGCATTAAAAAAAGCACGCACATCCAGCATCAGACAGAACTTGCCTTGTTGAAAAATAAGTGTACTCAAGGCCTACAAGTTATCATTGAACAGCCTTCTATCCGGTCCTCGCCGTTAGCCGGTCGATTTTATACCGTTCACCGAAGTCTGTTGGGTCGCGTGCCCAAACACAACAGGTCTAGAGCCAGCCTGCAGCCCAGATAATCGACAACTACAAACGCCTTGGAGGGCTGCTGAGCTTTAGAAAATGACATCCGGGGATCCAGGTCCTCGATACAAGCTTCAGATCACTGCTGGGCCGACATACGACACATCAACGCACTCACTCGTCCATGTGAACACTGATACCAACCTATGTATCGAGACAGAGCATGCAAAGGTGAACCTTTGTCTTCGTATACAAGACTACAGTGGTACCGTCCTTGCCTAATGTTTCTTGAATCCACGGGGATTTCTCTCAGGAATAACCACTAATGATATCTTCTTTTTGAATCAGGTCTTCCGGACTCCTCGCCAAAAACACATGCCCACTTTTCACACCCAACTCGCGTAAACGACCAGTACTCTCTTGCTATATCATTTGTGCCGAAAAAGGGACTAACCGGAAACGACCTGGTGCTTGGGAATGATCTGGACCGCCCTATACGCGACAGGCTCCCGCCAGGATCAAGCTATGCGTTTAAATTTATCAAGTGGTGGGTTGATCCGGGGTTAGAAGGGGACATATACGCGGATAAACCTTATATCTATGGGCCGTGTCTGTCGAGTTGGAACTATTTCCGGGTTTGCGGTAAGGAGGATGAAACGGGGAACTCGGAGGCGGAAATACATGAGGCTGTTGTTGAAGAAGGGGGTGAAGGTAGTGGGCAGGCAGTTCGTGAGGAACTGCAGATACCCGAAGACAATGGCCAGAGACAGAAGTTTTTCCTGGACGAGCAGAAGAGGAAGGACTTTGAGTTTGAGCCGGGAAGGATATATAAAGCGGACTTTGGAAACCCTTACATTGGATTCAGCGGTATGATATACCCCCACCCCCAATTGAACGGATTATGTCGAATCTAACGAGAGACAGATTTCACGATCCGTATCCCTGGCTTCCCGGTCCCGGTTACTAAGTATATTGACGAAAAGAACCATGAGTTGCGGTATATCTTGAAGAACAAGACTACTGGGGACATCTACTTCGTGGTGCTATTTACGCTTCTGATGCAAAATGGGGCAGAGGTAGAACCAGTAAAGGATGAAAGTGCGCCAGGTGAGGCAGAGGCAGAGGTTGACTAGACCTACTTGTAACGTGATGGTTTGCATAGAGGTTAGCGAGGGGGGTATATAGAGGAGTCATTTGGCAGGAAAGGTTTCTTTTTCTTTTTCTTTTTTTTTTTTTTAACTTGGTATGAACCATCTGTCTAAGTGTACAAGATCAGAGCTTGTAGAAGTGATAGGTAAATCTCTATAGTAGGAAAAAGACCTAGAGTTTCTTGAGGACATCTTCCAGAACCTCGGCAGTAGTGGCCTTGCCACCAAGGTCAGGGGAAAGGAGCTTGCCCTCATCCAAATTGGCGTCGACAGCCGCATAAATCTTAGCAGCAGCCGCACCTTCGCCCAAGAACTCCAACATCAAAGCTGTGCTTCGAATGGTGGCAATGGGGTTGGCAATACCCTTGCCCTCAATGTCGGGAGCACTGCCATGGCATGGTTCACCAATAGCAAACCCATCACCGACATTGGCGCTAGGAACCAGACCTAGACTTCCAACGAGGGCGGCAGCACCGTCCGACAGAATATCTCCGTACAGGTTGGGAGCAACAATGACATCGTAGTATGAGGGTTGTCTAAAGAGCTTGTACACCATTGAGTCGACGATTTGTTCCTCGACGTTGACGCCGCTGAATTTTTCGTTGGCCAGGGCCTTGCGGCATGACTCGCGGAACAAGCCGTCACTCTGGCTGAGGACGTTACTCTTGTGCGTGATGGTGACCATGGGACTGGCAGTGGTGGTATTGGCAGACTGAGCCTGACGGATCTTCTGTCGTCTGAGAGCAATCTCGCCCGCCATGGTGCCGATGCGGAACGAGGCGTTTTCAGAGATGCGCTTGATGGCCTCTGCTACCTTGCCGTTGGGGGTGTCGTAGGTCTTCTCTTCCTTGACATAGAGGTCCTCGGTGTTCTCACGGACAATGACGAGGTCAATTGGTCTGACAGAGGCGTTGGCGCCGGCCGTGGTCTTGACTGGGCGTACGTTCGCATAGAGGTCTAGCTTCTTGCGAAGGGCGACGATGGGGGATGAGTATCCTGCGACCTTGGTTGATGGAGAGCTAGGGCGGTCATTTTAGCCCACTTATCTCAAATTCCATGCTGGCCGATAGTTACAGGACAGAGCTGGGCCTACCTGACAGCTCCAAACAGAGCACCGTCACATTCCTTCTTCAGGGTCTCGACCGTCTTGTCTGGCAGGGCAGTCTTGGTGCGCAGAAAGGTGTCATAGCCCGCATCGAGGTCGACAAAGGAGAACTTTAAGCCCAACGACGCTGGAAGAGCTTCGAGAATGCGTCGACCGGCCTATTGCAGAACAGATCCTTGGTCAATGGAGCTCTGGCGGGGGGTTGTATTTCTCTTCTTCACAAGCTGCAGGAGAGCTGCTTCAACGTACCGGGATAACCTCCCTACCGATCCCGTCGCCCGGAATGAGTCCTACGGCAGCGTTAGCATCTTGTCAGGTAGTACAGGCAGCTTTAGGAATCAATTGACCTATCCTGAGTGTTCTGGCAGCCATCTTGCGTGCGCTGTCGCTGCTTTGGCTTCGACTTTCTTCGACTCATCTTGGAGGTTTTTTATTTTTTATTTTTTTTATTTTACTTTTTTTTTCCGCTGGAGAGCCTGCTGAGTCAGCATGTCCATTGTCAGATGAAAAAAAAAATTAAAATAAAATAAAATAAAAGCAGCCAAACCGAAGAAGCAAAAGGCGAAGAAGACTAAAGAACCTGCCATGAAGAAGATAAAGCCGCACGATAAAGGGATAGTGGTGAGGACCGAAGCGGACGAGGATGAACCGGTGGGGGGAGACGAGACGAGACGAAGGGCTGAAGCAAGCCATGACTGTCTGTTTGTTTACAGTAACGAGGTTATACGAAGGGCGACGGCGACGGCGACGGCGACGAGATGAGCTGGAGCAGTATTTTATGATCAAACAAGGCCGTCTTTTCCCCTGTTTCGTGGCTGGCAGCGACCCTGTGTAAGGGCAGAGTCGACAGGTAAATATGATACCGGGCCGCCTGCGAGATGCAGAGCAAGACGGGCACTGCGAGAGAGACCCGGCCGGCCAGCCCAGGGAGCTCCAGTCGTATAACTAGCTGTGCTCCATAGCTAGCTGTAGAGTTGGCTATATCACAGCCTGTTATTGCTTGGGTAGCAGCCAAAGGAGCGCAGAGACAGCAGCCTAACCAGCGGCCAGACCAGAGACACCTCAGCTGTTAGTTACAGTTGGACCGTTTTATATACGGGGTTTCTTCGCTGCTGGGCGTCTCGTCTCATCCCCGTCTCTCTCGTAGGCAGCCAAACAAGAGCTAACCAACACCGACTGACTGATAGTAAACAATAACAGCAACAACGACGACGACGGCCGTTTCACTCGCATCCCCCGTTGGATCCGTCAGCTTTTTCGTCTTCTCTGTCTGGCCTGGCCCTCGCACTGACTGTCCGTTGCCGTGGTTTCTGTCTGCATCTCATCGTCATTACAGACTTTCAATAGTGCCCTGTCTAGCTTCCTCCACCCTGAAAAAAAAAAGACCTCCCTTTGGGCCCCTAACGACGGAGTATGTAAGTAGTATGTAACTCTTGCTGCTGCTGCTGCTTGCTCCTCTGTCTCCTGCGTCTCCCTTACCACCACCCTTGTCAGCGCGGCCCTTGAACGGCCCAGTTTGATGATCGCATGAGAAGAGAAACGGTCGCCGGCCCTCTCGTGCTTTGTTTCATGCTAATTTCCCCCGGTTGCCGTGGCCACCTGCAGCGTCCCTTTTAGAACGGCGTGAAATCATCCTCCTCCACACAGCAGCCCGCTCGCTCGCCCGACACGCTTCCTGCTTGCATCTGGATATTATTCTAGAATCACCATATAAAATAAATATACTGTCTGTCCGCCCTGGGTGAACAGGTATCGAGCTTTACAGGGTTAAAATACGGGACCGAGACCGACACAGCTTTCTCGAACCCCCAGGAACGAAGGAAGAGAAGAAAAGAAAGACAGCAAGGGAGGGAGGAAAAAAGGGGGTAGAGGTTCAGGTCACATCTGATATCCTTGAACCTCTCTCGTCTCTCTCTCGCTCGCTCGCTCTCTGCTCCCTCCCTCTCCCTCTCTCTCTCTCTCTTTCTTCTGCTCTCTTCGCCATGTCGGCTCCTACGGGCGTTCGTGGCCTTTTGGCGAAGTTCGAAAACAACAACGTCAGCAACATATCGACTTCTCCGCCGTCTCGAGGCCGCTCTCCTGCCGGGTCAGACCACTCCGCCGCTGGCAGGCCGCTGTCCAAGGTCCGCGCTAGCTTCGTCGCCGTCGAACGCAACATACCAGGCACCTCGGGTTCCCCTATACTCGGCCTCAAGAGAGTAGGCGAAGCTGGAGAGTCCTTTGGTGCGCCCCCGCGAAGCGTGACAGACGAGATGGGCAGCCCAATCGATAGAAACACCACCCGCACCCCGGTGGACAGTACCTCACCGAGGAAATGGGGCACCCCCCAGCAGCAGCAGCAACAGCAGAACAGCCTGGACGGGGTTGTCTCGCCTCGAAAGATCTCTGATCCGATTGTGTCAAACGTGGAGCTGGACAAGACTACTGCTGCTGCTGTTGACGGCAAGTCCAAGGCCGGCCTGGGTGCTATCCTGAAGGGATCGCCCTTTGAAGACACCAGTGCACCTCCGAGCCCGGCAAAGAGTCGACAGACCGGCAAACAGGCGAATAAGACAGACGACAAGCCGAATGGAAAGACGAAAACAGCTACTCCTACCACTGCTAGCGCTACATCCAAGACTGGCTCACGTCTGGCCAACAGCTCTAGCTCTGCAGACAGCAAGTCCAAAGCTACACCACGGCAGTCAGTGGCAGGTTCCAAGCCATCCTCTGCTCCCAAGTCTGCCAAATCTCCTGCTGTGCCAGGTACAACGGCAAAGGAAACCGCACAGTCCCAAACTATAAGCGCAACCAAGAAGCTCAACAAAGTCCTACAAGAACCAGCAGGCAAAACTCACACTACCAGCACCACCAGCACCACCAACAACAACAACAACGCCGCTGCCAAACTCAAACCCGCTGCTTCAACTCACAAGAACGGCGACCCCAAGTCTCCTACTCGTCCAACCCGCGCTCATGGCTCCATGCTCGCTCCCACAGCGGCATCCACAGCAAAAGCACCCAACTCGTCACCATCACGTCCATCCAGCCGGACCAGCGTTCCTGCCAACACTACCAAAGCTCAAGCCCTGAGCCGCAAACCATCAAGCTTACGTTCTTCCGCCCCTCGAACCACAGGTTCATCCAAACCTTCTGCTCCGTCCGCCACTACCACCACAACCACAACCACGGTTCGCAAACAAGGTTCCCGTGCCTCCCTTGCACCGCAACATTCTTCGTCCGCCCATGACAGGCCGACTTCTCGCGCCAGCGTCCCCAGCTCCAGACCCGTCGATGACTCTTCCCTGGCAAGGCTAATACGGCCAACTGCGAGCTCAGCGAGTAAGAGGCAGGAGAAGCTCGATATTGCTAGTCCCCCCAGACTTGCTGCCAACAAGGCACACACTACCAAGAAACCAACTGCAGAAAAGACGAATACGACAACGACGGCAGCAGCTCACACCGGAAGTCCTGCGAGAACCAAGTCGACTAAATCGTCTGTACGACCTTCTGCTGCACCTGAAGTGGCGCCACCGAAACCTGCTGCTGCTGAGCCGGTACCTGTGAAAGAAGAAAAGCCTGTGGAACCAGTGAAGGACGAGAAAGATTCTCCCGCCCCTGCTCTTGCTGAAGATGAGGTTGAAGTTCACTCTCTGCCTGTAGTGGAAGAGACCGAACCTGAAGCTGCGAAAGCAGCAGAGGTAGTGGAGGAGAAGCCAGCAGAGGTTCAAACAGAGGCCAAGCAGGAAGAAGCTAAGCCAAAGGAACCTCAGGCAGAGCCTCAACCTGAAGCTCAGGACGAGGTTAAGACCGAGAATACTACTTCTACAGAGCCACAGTCAAAGGAGACTGAAGCCGTGAAAACCGAGCCAGAGGAGCCCAAGCCAGAAGAGACCGAGCCACAGGAACCAAAGTCCGAAGAATCAAAGAAAGACCAACCAAATCCAGTGGAATCTGAGCCGGAGCAAATTCCAGCAAAGAATGTTGAGCCTACAGCAATTGAAGCGTAGTCGGCACACACTATACCGGTTCATGAACATTACACCCTCCTCCCCCATTAACCATTTAGACCTCGCGAACCCACCACACCCCTAGAACCATTTACACACTCGCATAAAACCATATACTACTCAAATTGGAATTTCATCTCTCGGGCTAATAGTTGGATATCTTGCTTTCTTGTGAAACTTCCGTTTAGCCGTTGCATTCTACCTCTCTTCCTTCTTAACTCCCTACCTACCTAACCGACCTATCTCCCCCCGCCTATGGAAATCCATACCATCACACCACCTCACCAACCACTTACCTCGTCACCTCCCTCGTCCCCCCAACCCCCATTACTCATTCATCTTGCCTGTGATGGCTACCCCGCTTGATACCTACCTTTTGGCCGATTTGGGCCGGTTTGTTGTTATACTACTATACTCTTTTACTCATATTTCTTACCCTATTTTTTTATTTTTATTTTTTTTTATTTTTTCCTGAAAGTTTTGTGGCTCCTGTAAATCATCAAGCCAGTTATCTTCACTCTTCTCTATATTATATGTAGTAAAAACATATTTTTGGTTCTGGTCACTATTATCATCTTCGCTCCCTTCACAGTTTGCACAGTTGAAGCAAGTCGAGCAAGTGACGTAGGGTGGACTGACTGACGTCGTTGCGCGTGGAGTAAAAAAACCGACCTCGGCTCGCGAACCCGTCGGCCGCCTAGCCCGAAACTACCCGATGGTAGGTACGCCTTCAACGCCCTTTTTCTCCCCTAGCCTTCACTTATTTTTTTTTTTCTCGTTTACAATATTTCTGCGTGGGGTTTACTCCCGAGTCTGGATTAAATTGCTATCGTGAAGATGCACATTTATTCAACAAAGCTCAAAAGGGGACGATGACGGGTCATATAGCTCATGAAAAAAAAAGGGGGGGGGGGAACATAAACATTCAATCCCAGCATTTATTATCTCCCATGCAACGAAAACAAGAAATGAGAACCAAATACTCGTCCAGAAAGAGAACTATTTACCCTATATCCTGTCTCTCTCTTTTCTCTCTCGCCAATTTTTTTATTGTTTTTTTGTTTTTTGTGTCTGTTTTTATTTTTATTTTATTTTTGGTCAGAAGTCCATCGTTTAAACGAGGCCGAGGTGGTCTGGTTCAGCGGGGACGACACGGATGGTGTTGGTGTGTCCCTGGCCGCCACGCCAGCCTTGAACACAGACGACTGAAGTGCCTTTGGAAATGATCTTGAGCTCAATGGCTTGAGCAATACCCCATTTGAGACGGAGATCGACGTTCTTCTGCCACTCGGTGACGTTATAGTCGGGCTTGGGCTCGTTGAAGATGAAGGGGTAGACGCCACGGTATAGATGGGAGTACTGTGTGTGCGGAACAGTTAGTGAGTGCACGTTGACGTCAATTGCTAACTAATAGGTAAACTTACTCGTGCGGCTCTTGGGTTGCGAGTGACCATGATGATTGGGCAGACTGGACGGTACTTGGATAGCAGACGAGCAGTGTTTCCGCTACATGAAAGGAACGTTGTATGTCAGTTTATACCCTGCAGAGCAGGAACAAGGAGTGTTCAACTACTTACGAAGTGGTGAGGACCAAGATGGCACTGGCGTTTAGTTCCAAACTGGCGGAAACAGCTGCCATGGCGATAGATTCTAGAGTATCCGCTGGTCTAGGGGCAAGGTTGCGCAGCTCGTCGAATACGCTGACGTATGGGATCGCAACTTCAGCGAGAAGACAGGTCTCGTGCATCATCACCACCGCTTCCTTGGGGTAGTTACCCTTGGCAGTCTCACCGGACAACATGACGCAGTCTGCGCCGTCAAGCACAGCATTGGCGACATCAGATACCTCTGCACGGGTTGGACGTGGGTTATAGGTCATGGACTCGAGCATCTGAGTGGCGCAAATGACTGGCTTGCCCTTGATATTGCACTTGGCAATCATCATCTTCTGGGCGATAAAGACCTTTGCGGCGGGGATTTCGATGCCGAGATCACCACGAGCAACCATGACGCCGTCGGTCTCTTGCAGAATCTCGTCAAAGTTGTTCATTCCTTGCTGGTTTTCGATCTTGGCAATGATCTGGATCTCCTTTCCGGCCTCACCCAGGACAGCCCGGATGTCCCTGATGTCACTTCCGTGACGGATAAAGGAGGCGAAGATCATATCTACGCCGTTTTCGACACCGAACTTGAGATCCTGCTTGTCCTTTTCAGACAGGGCAGGGAGATCGACGTCTGTTCCGGGAAGGTTGACACCCTTTTTGGATGAGATGTTGCCATTGTTCAGACACTTGACGCGCAGGGTCTTGTCGTCGACGATATCGAGAACTTCGAAGGAGAGGACACCGTCGTCTACGTATACCAGCTTACCCTTGGAGATGACTTTGGTGATGTTCTTGTAGTCGACGTACCTGAGCATACCGCGGTTAGCTTGGGAAGGGAGAAGAAAAGCAACTAGATGTCGGGAAACAAACATGTTCTTGTCATCACTGCAGGTGGCATATTTATCATCGGTTGTAATGTTCAATTCTGTTCCCTCCTTGATTGGAATATCCTTGTCACCGGGAGTGTTGCCAGTACGGATCTCAGGTCCTTTCTACAGGGATGTCAGCTCAAATCCATCTTTATAAGACCTGTTGCTTGCTGCAAGCAGCAGGTCTAATTCCATATGTGAGTGAGTGTGTGTGTGTGTATGTGGTTGAGCTAACGTACGGTATCGAGGGCGATTGCGAGTGGGCGGCCGGCTTGGAGGCGTTCAGCTTCTCTGGCGTTATCAATGACAGATTTGTGGTACTACACAGGCAGATCAAAGGAAGGTTAGCTGAAAAGAATAACCGGTTAAGATGATAATGAAAGCAAGTTCCTACCTCGTGAGTTCCATGGGAGAAGTTCATGCGGACAACATTGAGACCAGCTATAGACAGCGAGCAATTAGGAGAACAATATCTATCTACAGCCCCAGAGAAAGAGAATGCAGACCTTCACGAAGCATGTTAATCTTTTCAACTGAGTTTGTCTTTGGACCTGCAATTGAATAGAGATGTTAGTCCCTTTGTTTGGTACATAGCTCTCTAGCTCTGTGCGCAGCTGTGTCACTCACCAATAGTGCAGATGATGGAGGTGCGGCGGTAGTTATTGGCAGGCTTGTACTCCGTATCCAGCTGAGAATGCCACTCCAGCTTCATCCTGTTGGAGAGATGGTCTAACGAGTTCGCCATGGCTGGTTGTTGCTGGTGGTTGCAGTGGCAGAGACGGGAGGTTGTGAGGTGTGCGCTGGGAGGTGTCGGTGTGAGGCGGTAAAACAACACGATGGCGACGGGAGGGCTCGCTGGCTGGTTTTATACAGATCGATCGCTGGCAGTGGCGCAGTCCAAGGGAGCAGCAGTGCAGGGAGCTGGAGATGCAACAAGGACAGACGCAGGTCGGAGAGACGACGACGCTTGAAGTCGTGTTTTAATGCGAGAGTCGAGTTGGTTGCTTTTTTGTTGGGCGTTGAGTGACTTTTTTTTAGCGGGACTTACTTTAGGCACACAACTTGCCGGCAGGCGTAGCCTTTTATTTTCTTTTTGGCTGCTCTTACTCGTTAGTTGTTAAGTGAGAATTAATCTAGTTTTTGTGTGGTTTTGGATGCTCGATGCTACTCTGCGGACGTTGATCCGGCGTCGCTCTGGTCGTTCTTCACCCATTGGATTCAGCTGTGCTACTCGCCCACCGTGGAGGATGCGCTGCTGGTGCTAAGATCGCTGCTCTGGAGTCCTCAGAATGCACAGGGGCTCTCCCTGCATGAGAGGAGAGCCCACTTGCTTACAAGAAAAACCACAGGATGCTTTCCAGCTACGTCACTCGTCTCAGGTCCTCTGCCTGTTTGATGTTATATCTGTGCTGCAGCGCCCCGTCTCACCCTGCCACTGCTCCCACCTGAACCTCGACCATCACAGCCTTCATTCAGCCGCCATGCATTCTACTCTCCCATCGCCGTCTCCCATCGCCGTCTCTCTCTCTCTGTCTCTTCGTCCCTTTTTTTTTCTCTTTTCTCTATCAAAAAGACGCTCGGACTTGGCGGGGTTCAAACAATGAGCCGACCCGCCCGAGCTCTCTGATTGGCCCATCTCTTATCAGGCTTCCGGATCATCTTACTTCCGCAAAAGTGGGCCCGGAGATAAGACTGATGGCGCTAGTCCCAAAAGGGAGAGAGATAAGCTTATATAATGTTGATTAAATAATATATTAGTCATAGATCATATGACCATCCCCAAGGAAGCCTACCCTATCGATTATCAGCTGGCCAAGAAGGGAAACGGCCTTTGCTTCTCTCCTTCTCGGTCGCCATAGACAACGCCGGCTCAACGGGAAAGAATATTATACAGCTTTGACACTCTTTCCTGCTCTTCCACTTCTCACCTCTGCTCAGGACACATCTCTCCAGCTCTACTCCGTACAAGATGGTGGCATGTTCCTCCTCTCCTGGCGCTCTCTTGAAGCTAGCTAACACCGTTGATCAATAGTTCGGACGTCTCACCCACTATGCTTTCGACGCTGTACTATGTGCGTACTTGCCATGGTCTCTCCTTTGTGTACCAAGGATGACACACTAACCTCTTCCCAGTCTCTGCCTTTCTAGCAGGAATCAAACGGTCGACAGGTTTAACGTAACTACTCCCTGCCCAGCTATACTCCCAGCCACACGATATAATAACTATCACTGCATCTACATACGCCCTCCCCAAGTTGAAGCGACCCCAGCTAACTCTTGTGTCCTCCCGCCCGTCCGCTCCATGTGATTGCTGTCCGGCTCCCTCCAACCATGCCCGTTATACCTGGACTCAGCAGGAAGGGAGAAAACGCGGTGTGGTGGATTGAGTCGGGCGAGCATCGCATGGGCCGTGGACGAACGGCCAAGCATGACGTTAGCCCCAGCCTGAACTCTGACAAAATCACAGAGAGCAAAGAAGTTAAACGATGGCTCGACGGCTATCTCGGTGTTGGTGAATGGGTGATGGACCAGAGCATCGCGGTGCTGGGATCGAGCGGATATTTCGAGCGCAAGCGGTGATCACAGCCGAGAACATCTCGTTTTTCCATGGTCCACCCAGTCTCTCCTCCGTCACATCACCTCTTTTCACCCCCTTCCTCTTTTAGCGTGCGAGCTTGATTGCTTTCCTTGGTCTACTGTTTCACTATAATATTTCTCAATTTTTCTTGTGTGGAATATGAACGCTGCCTCTCGTCTCTGTCATGCTCTTTTTGGCCTAGAGGAGATATGATGTTATGAATTGATAGCCTCAACGACGAGGGAGCCTCACCCTTCATGATGATCACAAGAATGCCCGGCACATCACATACCCAGAGAAACACACTACCGTCGAGTGGGAGGTTTGATTGCTGCCTGGAAATATCTGCTCCACGCGGTCATGATTTTCAACTCTCCATGCTTTCTACTTTCCCCCGGGTAATCACCACCTTACCCTGTATAGTACCTTCAGATATTTCATGGCTATATTTATCAAGCACACACCAGCTCTGTTGGTCCCTCCACTATAATTCATACGTATTTATATTGCTACTAAAGCAGGTCTTCAGAGGATTGGTGTATCAGGCTCCGTACATCAACCACCAGAATCCTGGAGCCTAAAAGCCAAGCTTAACTTGGATTTATTACAGGAACCAATGTTACTCGCATAAGACATCTTATTCCACAAGTTCCTAGTTAGCGTTGAACTGAGTCAGGTCCTCATATTTAAGACACGTGGTCATTATAGGGTGTTTATAGATGGAGCTGTCTCAGGTAGGAGAACATCGTCTCACAGCTATATGGATTCTTCTCCAGCATTACTATCATCAGGTCTATGGATAAAGTCGTATTCATATCATTGGAATGGCTGCCATTTCTGTACAAACACGGTGTCACATAATATGTACTCCATATGTCAATATTGTAGATACAAGAAAAAAACAACGAAAAAAATGTCAAGGCCAGGCCAACGCCATCCCCGCACCATGGAAATGAGTACCAGATAGTTGAAAAAAAAAAAAAGGGAACACAGATGTAGAGAATCTAACAAACTCAGATAGCGATGCCAAAGTTCACCAGTGGTCATGAACGGGTCATTACTTTCTCTGTCTTTCTCTTGGACCGTTTTAAAGAAATGAAAACGAAAACTTGGGTATATGAAAACATGAAAAGGACTTATACGCGGTGGTCATGTCTGAAGGGTTCGTAGGCAGTGTCTTGGGTATGGTGGGGAGGCATGTTATGCATTGGGACGGCAGATCCTGGGTGGACACCATACGGGCTAGCAACACGCTCGTAAGTGTAAGGAGCCTTCTCAGCAGTAATACCACGTCGGTCATCACGGTGGCCATATGGAGAGCGGCCAGAGCAGCAGCAGACACTGAGGAGCCAGAAGAATCCTCCGGCAAGGGTGAAGAGGCCACCAAGCCAGTATATGGCGAGCATGCGAGTTCCGACGTCGGCCTTGATATCAAACGGCCTGAGACCTGCTTTAATAGCTCCGACAAGGATACCGTAGAGAACGGAGGCAGTAGCTGCACCACCGATGGTAAATACAGCGGCAACCTGGTGGAAAATTGTTAGCTTCTTTTTGGCCTAGGTCATGCTGTTATTTAGATGGTGAAACTTACACCTGCAATGAGAGTAGTGAAAAAGCTACCCCATCGGCTGAAGATAGCAGAGATTCCAACCAGAAGCTGAATGGCAGAGGCAGAGATGGCAACAGCGTAAGCAACATATATCCATCCAGCAACCTTCTGATAGGTATTCAGGCCCCTTTGCAGGGATGATGGGTAGAGTTGTTGGATAGTATCATCGACACCCCAGACTTCGGCAGGATTAAACCAGAATCTCATTCGGCGAGGGGAGCAAAACGTGACCTTGTCGCTTCCGTCCTTGCTGTCTCCGTAGCAGTAGTTCCACATGCCAACGATATAGAAGTCGTGAATATCGCCTTTGGCTTTGGCCTGTTCGAGGCCATGTGCGAGCGGTTGTAGTTGGCTATTTAGCCCGGACGGGCTTGTGTTGATGTCTTTCATATTAACCTGTACAGAATGAGTCAGAGCTGTCCGAAGGAAAACAGACGAAGCAGCAACAAAGATACAACAAGCTTACCTTTGCAAAGTAAACATCGGTGAGAGTGTTGGTGTTGTAGCATCCTAGGCCAACTAGAGCAAGGCATACAAGTGTGCCAATTGAGAGAATGTACGGCAGAAATATGCACGCAAATCGACCGCCCTTGCCCATTTTGGCTTGTTGATACCCGAGATGTTGCCTGAAAGTGTTGGCTTTAAGATAGATGCTGCTATATGACGGAGAGAGTAGCTAGAACAGCGAAGTGAGGTGATGATGGAGAAGAAATTGAGTGTAAAGACGTCAAGTCCGAGAATATATTAAAGGGAAAGAAGATGACTTTGCCGTTTGTTTGTTGTTGATGATTTTCTGTTAGCGGAGGGCTGCAGGCCCTTAATATATCTCAAGCTGACGCGCGCCGCATGGCTGAGCCGAGTGAGAGCAAAGCAGTCGCTGGTGGGTCTGTGGCAGGGCAACGACAGGCTGATTAGGTAAGCAAAAGAGCGGGCTGTATTTGGAATACGGGGTGCGTCAGCGGCTGTCCGCGTTAATTGCAGGGATGCTGCGTATTCAATACCGAAGGAATGACAAATACACGAGGCCAAGGCTTGTCCTCTTTTGGACTTGGTTTCTATTCCTGGCTCCTCGTGGCGCCGCTAGCCTCTTCAGGACTAGTGTCATGGCTGAGCGGGAACGGCTCCACTTTTTTCTCAGCTTCGCTCCTTCCCAGTTCAAGGTTTTTACCCCAAACAGGAAAAGCGGCTCGCACTCTTTTATAACTTCCTGCAACTCACCAGCGCGGCCTTCGACTGCGCCTGCGTTGACGCTGCGCTGGCGATGGCGTGAGATACCGAGATCTAGATGCTCTTGTGTGTGGAGGGTGTAACTTACTCGCGATGCTCAGATACGTCTAAGAGTCAACTGAATGTCTAGATTCCTCTACCCTCACTAGAAGAGAGGAAGCCTTATACTCAAGCGGTTCTCCTTTCCTCTCCTTTTCAATTTAAGTATATCTTCTTCGCGCTCTCTGACTTCCTGCTCTTCTGACTTCACAGTCACTTTCTGGCCCTCCTTATTAAATGTTTGATATCAAATACCCACAGCCAAAACCCCAGATACAGTGGGTAGGAAGATAGATCCTGAAGAGAGGGCCCGAAGGCTTCGGAAAAGAGATGTTTAACCCTAATAAAGGTTCTCTTAGTCGAGAAAGGGTATGGAAAGAATTACAACCTAGTATAAATCTGAAGGAGGCATTTGTCTTCGGCAGAGCTGTACGGAGTAAATATGGAGTAAATATACCCAAGGGCCAAGCGACAAGTGACAAATAGGCCGAGGAAGTGAGAAGCGAGGGATAGCGAACACAGAATGCGTCGACGACGGATCTGTCCTGCTCTCGCCATGTCCTGTCTTCTCACTTCTCAGCGCGTCGGTTTCGTGTGTTTAACTAACACGAAATACCCTCTTCTCTTCTCTCGTCTATTCCTATTACACTACACCGTCCTGCCTCTTGTTCTGAAATCCATTCCACCACCGCAGCCATACATTTACTCGATCACGACGTTAACGGTACATTATGCGTTCCCGGAGGTTCAAGCACATGCAGATCGATTCGAGAATGTCAGCAAAAATTAGGTGGAATAACACGATGAAGACGTTCCTATGCGTTATGGTCCGCTGCTACACACCCGATTGGGAGAAGTTTACAGATCTCTTTAATATCGTGTTTGCAAACAATCTTAAAGCGTGCGGGTTTCATGAAGGTACTCGAATCCAGCCATTGCGAAGCCAGTGGAATCATCTAAAGCATTGGAAGGACCCTATCTGGACCTGTGTCAACCTCACTCCTTTAGCCCAATGGGCCGGTCTTAGTTTATTTGTGGAGATGATTGAACGTACAGCTCATGGGAAGATCCGTCTTTTTGCTCAACGAGGCGTGGACATCCCACATCTTCTTGCAATGGGGAAAGAAGCACGTTCAGAACGCATATCCTCCTCATCTACTACACCAACTCAGACACGAATCCAGCAAACTTCACCAGAATTACCAATTCAAATAACATCTCCAGTCCGTTCCCAGCTACCGCCGACACCAGTATCTGACTCACATGTGCTGCCCTCACCAGCCAGAGAGTATTTGCCCAGCGAGACGCCGACGCCAACACAGAGCCCTAGCCAGTCTGCCCATTACAATTCAACGCCACCATCATCATTGCAGAGCCCTCTTCAAAGTGTCCGGCCAGATGTAACTCCCCCTCCGCTACTATTTCGGTTTTGGGATGAAAACAGTGGGGGCATAAATTCTGCCAACAAATTTGTCGCAGGCATGTGGGATCAAAATGCGACTACCCCGATACCCGATCATTCTACTATTCATCCCCGAATAATATCTACGCTAGTTCGGATGCATCTTACCAGGGTCAATGTCTCGTCAGCTTTTATCTCCTTGTCTACCAGCCCCCTTGGGGTGTTCCATCGCGCCCTTAGAGCTGGAAAGGCAAATATTTCCATCTTAGACACATCTAAGATGAATCAGTCTCACTTGTTCTCTGTTATCCCTTTTCTTAGGCACGAACCCATCATGTATGGCAGTGAGGGAAAGTCCCGGTACTTTGGCCAAGGCGAATGGCTAGTTTGGGGGATTATACCATCTGAGGCTATCCTTACTACCTTCTCTACGGATACCTTGTTTTCCATCTCCACCGAATATCCCAGTGTTGGGAAGTTATTGCAGCTTCATTTGATCAAAAATGCGAAATTCAACAGAGCCCCCCTTATTAGAAAACTTGGGTCCAAAAATATTATGGCAGATATGCACTCTGGGCGGTCTGTGGGTCAGTTTTTAAAGTTACTCAATGTTCCACAGCCGCATATATCTACTTTAGCGATGTTATTTGCTACAAAATGGTCATGGAGGTCCCCGGGAGACAAACGTGCGGCGTACTTGCAAGGCGTTCAACGAGGTTTCATAAGCGCTTACAGCCTCAAACTCCCACCCCCCGATGCAGAGAATACTGAAAGTGAGCAAGAGGAGGATGCAACTGGTCAATACTACGAAGAACTTGAATCTGATCGTGAAGATGAAAGTACCGAAGTTGATTGTCAGAACGAAATACAAAACGCTGCGGGGGATGATATTGATTTGGCCAGTGGAGTAGCTGATCCGTTCGCCATGAAACGTGCAAGCATTGCAGCAATGTTAAAATGGTAGCGGTGGTTGATTTCTGTTGTTAAGGAGACTTGATGGACCTTTGTTAAAATTTATGTCAAAAGACTTGTGTGAACATTAAATGGTTTCATTCGGATACTGTGATGGTAATTATCATCGAGGGAAATGAAAACTGTTTTCATTTCGCAGGAAGCTAGACAAACTCCAATTAGAATCTAGCCCCTTGAAAAGACATGCTAAAACGCTGCCCTCGATAAGGAGCTCCTTCTTCAAAGTCAAAATAGTACAAGAGAAATCGAACGGAGAACAAGGGCTTGAAGTTTGAATTGGAGTATCATATTTTTTTTTGTCTCACTTGTCCTGTCCAGTCCACTGATCTCGATTTCTCCTGACGATTTTCTAAGGCACCATATATCCCATCATATCATGCAGTAAGGGTCCATCAGCGCACGTAGACAAAACAACCTTCCATTCACGCCATTATGCCCTGATTTAGAATTTCTGGAATGCCTTGACGGCCTTGCCGGTGCGTGGTAGAACGCGGAGAACGTTGAATCGGACCTATAGCATTGTTAGTTATAACTTTTCCGGATCTATTATATCCTCAGCCCTATCAGGAAACACGTACAGTCTTGCTCAATGGTCGGCACTGGCCAACGGTGACCTGGTCACCTTCTTCAACACGGAAGGCGGGGGAAACGTGAGCGGCGAGGTTCTTGTGTCGCTTCTCGTAACGGGAGTACTTGGGGATGTAGTGGAGGTATTCTCGTCGGATGACAAGGGTACGGTGCATCTTGGTGGAAACAACGGTGCCGGTCAAGATACGGCCACGGATGGAAACCTGACCAGTGAAGGGGCACTTCTTGTCTATAAAGAATAAGCTGGTTAGAATCGACTTCCAATCCTCTAGTCCAAGGACATCTTTCGTTGTAATTCTTATAGGTGTGTTCCCGAGATGGCACAGAACGGGGGCTTCAGAGTATTCTCAGTCTCAGCCAGTCCGCATTGTAGTAATGAGCCCTTCCATGAACAAGCATGGGCGCTTCAAATTCTCATTTTCCATTTTCTTTTCTTGAGACCTCCGTCCGGTGCCTATCTCGAAACCCCTTGCAAGAAAAACCGCGATTGTCCCAGGCTTGAATCCTTTGCCGTGTGCATACCAATGTAGTTTCCCTCAATGGCGGTCTTTGGTGTCCTGAAGCCCAGACCAACGTCCTTGTACCATCTTCGTCCACCCTTTCCGACAGACTTGCTCTTGGACTTTACTTTGGAGTTGGTGAAGATGTGCGGCTGCTTCATAAAGGCACGCTCCGACTGGACGGTCAACTCGGTCGCCATGGTTGCGGTATTCCAACTCCTGCTCGCGCGGGTAAATGGGCTATGGTTGGAAAGGTCGGAAAGGTCGTCGTCGTGAGTCCGCAAAGTTCGTCGAAAGGTGCGAGAGAGTGTCGAATCTTCCTTCGGGCTTTGACTTTCGATCTTTTTTCTCGCCAATTTCCAATGTGGGAGAGAAAGTAGGGCTCCATTCCAAATATGGTATAGCGTCTCTTGGCTTTAGGGCTTTTGCTTTGTTTACAACGCTAGTCCCGATATGGTAATATGATATCTTTAACGCGACTTCAAGCTCGTTTTTCGAGGGGGCAACGGCATCTATACAGACATCTCGACTTGGAGGCGCAGGATGCGGCTTAGGGGAAAACGACTGTGAAGTCATTGCACGGCGCTGGAAGCTGGCTCATTATCCTGGGAATCCCCATTTTTGGTTTTGTCGTTTGTTATTTTGCCCTGCCTAGCGATATTTGAGCTGCAATGTCATCCTATACCCGCGATCCGAGCAACGTTGCTCGCGTGAGAGCTCGACGCTCACTAGCGCAGATGCCCCATAGAGGCAGCGGCATCGATATTGACAAAGAGAATGTGACTACAGACTTCAGTGCTGCTCAGAAGCAGAACAATATACCTTCTAGGGCATTGGGCAATGATAAGCGATCTCGCAGTAAGAGTCTGGGACCTGGAGGATTGGATCTCTTGAAAAATGGCGGCAATGATAGAAGAAAGGTGCGCAGTTTTTGTACGCTTGTGTGTCGGCCTTTGGGCTAGAGTTAACTTTCCTTTACTAGTCTACCGCCGCTGTTCAATTGAAGTCGATCCTGAAGCCGACGATTCCCGTCTCGCCAATAAGCCATATTCCAAGCTTTGCTGAAACACGCAGGAAAACACCGCATCGTGACGCTTTTGGGAGTAACCATAAACCATCTGGGAATGATGACCTTATTGACCTTTCGACCCCCGCTGTGCCAGTTGTCGGTACTGACAGTTTGATCAACCCGTTCGATAATTTTAACCCGATACCACCGTCTAGGGCCAAAGACATGGCCGCACAGAGAGAAAGGGAAGAAAAAGAACGAATTGAGCGCGAGCGGGAGAAGAAGAAGGCAATCCTAGAACAGCGAGCTGCACGAAGGAAATCTATGGGTAAACAACTATATCCTTGAATTCGTTGTTGATGATAGTTCTAATTTTCTATTCTAGCGAATCGCCGAGTTTCGTTTGCGCCTGAGGCAACACTACATACTTGGAATGTTGTCGAGCTAATGGAAGATTCGACCGCTTCCACGGGTGCTAATACGACTCGCAGGAATTCCTCGATGATGGCTGGTCACAGAAATCAGGGGTCAGATGAGTCTGAACCACCATCCTCACCAGGAAAATATGAACTTGAGGACGTCAATCCACCTCAATCAGCACCTCATCTGGAAGAACTAGCCGATGAAGCATTTTCTTCCAGCCCCTTCAGTGGTGGCTCCACTGCTGAGAATGATACTGGTTTTCCCCAAGGAAATATGGAAATGGGGAGTGACTCGCTAAGCTCAGGGCCTGAAGATGAGAGCACGAGTATGAGCATGGAAAACGTTACGGAACAGCCTCTTTCGTCCGAGTCCAATGACTCCTCCCCCAGTTCTAGTAGTTTGGATCGATCGTTGAAGAAAGCCGCTCTGGCAGCTGGGACGAGAGGTATCGAATTTGACGAAAATGGAGATTTATCCATGGAGCTCACTGGTCATGAAATTGTTGGTGCTTTTCAACCCTGGGTTAAAAAAGGATCGAGCGCAAAATTTGATGCTGAAGACCTTACCTCTCGCTTTGACCAGGAGAACATTGGTTCCACAAAAATGACTGCCTCAAATCCTACTAGGGCAGCTCAAGTTAATGAGGATGATGGAGATATGAGCATGGACATTACAAAACCGGTTGGTGGTATACCTCGGAGGAAAAGCAATATAACTAGCGGCAGCAATGAAGAGACCCGTCCGTATCCGAATTACCAAAAATATGGCTACCAACAGGCCTCTCGTCGAACGTCAGCCATAACAAACCTTGGAGACCAGACAATGGAGTTTACAAATGTCATCGGCGGTATCAAAAGTGCCTCCCCTAAAAGGCCTGACACAGAGAGCAACGTCGATACGGATGAGGAGATGACCATGGAGTTTACCAACGTCTTGGGTGGGGTCCTTAACAAACAAAAGTTCGACAGGAAAGATGATTATACATCTCAAGAAGACCCAAAATATAGTCATGGTGATGAAGGGGATATAACATACCCTAATCTAGGAGAGGACGATATGGAGATGACAGGTGCGGTCGGTGGAATATTGCCCCCAATTGAAGAGCGAACGGAGCCCTCCGATGACGGAACTATGGGGATGGATATGACAAACGCTGTGGGCAAAATTCTTGCACCCTTTCAGGTCAACAACCTAAAGGGCAAGAACAGGATATTTGACGAATATGAAGAGGGCCCCCCAAGCTCCCCATTTCAAGAAAATATACCTGCATCTCCTGCCAGAGCCCCTTTGCCGCAACATCCAGATCTGGTCACGTCAGAAGGTGGGAGTCCATTGCGGGCGATACCCAGGTTGAACAGTACTTCTCGACAACCATCTAGCTCTCCCAAAAGATCAACGCCTCAACAGTCATCTCCAGGCAAAGGCCTTTCAACTCTCTCGAAACAACGGTCGCCCCACACAGTCAGGCAACTAACACCTGCCACCCCTGAAGGAAGCCCCATTAAACCTAAGTCAAGAAGTGCGTCACCTCAAAAGCGACATATTTCGCAAACAAATCAGCCCCCTGTCAAAGCTATACCTGCTTCTTTGTTCCAGAGAAACTCGCTGACAGGGCAATCGACACCAACTTTTGTTTTGAAAGCATTAAACCATGCTTCTCACGGTATCAGCGAGGCACGGGGTTCGCCAAGAATTGCTGAAATATTAGACAGACGGCGCTCTATTGGGGAAGATGCCCAAGAGTTTGTTTTGAAGCCAACTCCCAGTCGAGGCGTCAAGTTTGATGATATGTTAAAAATTGGGCAAGAGTACGAAAAGGGGAACGAAGAGGATACTTTTCCCAGGACTAGTCAAGAATCTGAAAAGGAGACTACTCTTAATTTAAGAGAACTGATTTCAAGCCTTACCCCAAAGAAAAACAAGCTCAAAGGACGCAAGAGCCTTCATGTGGGTGCAGCTAGAGGTCTCCTTGGGAAACGCCCCCCTGAGCTTGATATGGAAGATGCCGATGAAGATCTGACACCACAAAAGCGCCTCCGAGGAAGAGAAGCTAGCCCAGTTAAAAATATTAAGCTACCCGCCCCTGCTCCAATGGCCGATACTGTTGGTCGACCTAGTCAACCAACCCTCCATTATGACAGGAATGTGTCGCCATTTATGGATAAAAATATTTCTCCTGCAAAAAATAGCGCCTCTCCCAAGGACAATGTGATGCATACTCCAAATGACCAAGCTTCCATACAAGAGGAGGCTAAAGAAGAGAATAACATTTCGCCTGGAGGCATTACCACCCCAGTTGAACCAATAAAGCTTTCCGACTTTCTTGAAATGACCAATATACACTTTATGGAGTTGACAACAACGAAACGAAGACATACCATTGCTCCTGGAAGCCCCGAAAAATGCGGCACAGAGAGCCTGCAGGGGGCAAAGGAGTTTGGCCTCGAGGACCGGGTCGCTGCTGGATTCTGCACTTTACCGATGCTTGAGTTATATCAACATGTAAGCTCACCACTTCGTGTCTTCGAGTCTAGAAGAAGAAATTATGTCCATCAACTAACGCAATTCACAGTCGTGCCGAGAACTTAAATCATATATTTCTGAAGGTCGGCGCATCATCCGATCTATAGAAGCAGAGACATACGCGGAAAATCCCCCGTTGTTCCAGGAGTATATCACAGCCACGCCGGATATTCGGCTATTGATGGATAACCAATTCCGTAATGTCAAAACTCACGCGCGGCTATTAAGTAAGGAAATGTGGTATGAATGGCGAATGAAACTACTGGAAGGCTTGAAACAAGGTCTAGATCGGCATCTCGACGAAATGAAGCAGGACGATGCGATTCTCTCAAGGAAGGAAAACATTCTGGCGAATGTGGTTCCCGGTTTAATTGAGAGGCATGACAAGCTAGAGATTGATTCCCAAAATCTCCAGAAAGTGATAGATGAAATCGAAAGCTGCGACCAAGAGGAACTGCGGGATGCCAGGAAGAAGCTTCTAGCTGTTGAAACCGAACTCTCCGGTTACAAAGATAAATACACTCAGGCGCAGAGTAGGCTTGAGACGAAGAGTGACTTGCTGGAGAAAGCCCAAGCGCGAAAAGAAGAATTGTTGCAAGAGATTCGCGAAGCTGAGAGTATCAAAGAGGAATGCCGTGGTTGGGATGGGAAGGAGGTCCGAGTGTTACAGGGTAAGCTGATTTCCATACCTTTAACCCGATATTTGCCCTATAGAATCGATAAGCTGACTAGTCCTGCACAGATTCTGTTCACTCTCTAGAGAAACAGACTGGTTGGACTATCATTTCTGCAAAACCAAGCATGGATGTTGTGAAAGGCACTACTCTCTCGATGCGGTATGGCGGAGAGCTTCAACTCGACTGCAACCCAAGCCATATTCACGCCCTTTCACAAAATTTAACCAAGGGCGAGCGACAAGCCCCTCAGCATGATACCTTGCCCTTAACCTTGACATATGCCCCCAAGGGAAATGGGCTGCAATCTGCCACTGTAAATCCTAGCCCAGGAGCTTCTTTAATCCTTAATGCTATACGCATGCAGGTTTCCCATGCTTTGCTATCCCCCGTTTCGTTGAAGCAATTGCTGAATGGCATTGCGAGATGTTGGGAGACTGCAAAGTCTTTGCAAGAGGAGATTAGAATGTTAGGATATTGCGGAATTGTTAGCATCAAACCAATAGGGACCAGGCGATCTGAGCCCATGCAGTTGAAAATTCGCTGTACTCTGCTAGGCAGCATAAAAGACAAAATCTCACCGGAGGAAGTCAATCAACCCAAGAAGAAACAAGGAGAACGAGCAAGGATTGATATTGACTTCATTGCAAAGCCAAAAGCTCTTGACAAATATGCTGACGGTCCAAATATTGGCGTTGGGATAGATTTTGATGCCGCTGCAAGCACGGTATATGGATTCAAAACCCCCAATGATTCCCAAACGCATGATTTGCGTATGAATGATCTCTTGACCAAACTGATGGAAAAGCCCAACCAAAGTTTTGGCGGTGGTCTGTTAAGAGCAACAGTGAAAGCTGTTGAGAAGAGAGTGTTCCATGCATAAGTGAGACTGGGGCATTGCATTATTTTTGGTATGTCAGCGTTGTATAAATGATTAATAGCTTGGTCAGCAATTGGTGTTGATCTGTTGGGTTTTGGGATTAGCATGGGGATCTATATAGGTTATTTGCATCTTTCCATTTACTACTAAATTATATTATTTAATTAGAGGACTGCCGGCATAACGCCTCTTACTGCCCGTCTTACACTGCAAGATGGCAATCAAGATAAACGGTGCTCGATTGCTACCCACAGCACGCCACGGATAGATATATGATGCATTGCCTAATGTGGCACTTGGGTTAATCAACAAACTGTCGAATGCAACTGCAACGTCGTACAGTTTGCACTTCGACTCGTCTAATCAGATATATTGCACCACTTGGGTAATATAAAAGCGCTTACACACCTGGATTTTTCTCCTTTTTCTTCATCCATCCGGACACCTCAATATCCTACAACCCAAGGCATATTTGTTAACAGTTGACACCTACGCAACATTAAGAATAGCCATCGAAAGACAAAAAGCAAGGATTTTTCTCTGCACATGTTCAAAATTATTATTGGACATTGGCCCAACCATCGAACAAATGTTTGACTACTTGGGAATATTCTACATCTCTGACCTACTTCGGAAAGTCAAAGGATGGTTCCAAATCCCGGAGAACTATGACAAAGAAGTAAAGTGGATTGATGAAATGGATGAAACGTTCAATAATCACGACTTCTTGTTACAAGAAAGCATCTTCCTCAGGGAGCTCTTTATCGAGCGTGCAATTGAAGGGAAGCTTGGGCAGACTGTAAAGCCGCTTTACTCCGGCCCTAAGAACTGGAAAGAGAAGCTACGAGATGCGGGCTATCAACATTGGACAATCCAGAAGGAAATGCACGAAAGATACCTAAACCAGCCTGACGGCCCAATTTCCCGGCAATATGATATCTCTCTGTCTAGAAAGGACCAAATTTTAGCCAACAACCCAGCCAAGTATCTGTCACAGAAACGTCTGGTGCAGCTTTGTAAGGCACGGGGTGGGTGCTGCGCAAGGTCCTGCCAGTGTTGTTTAAAACCGCGAGGCCTTTATCCTGATAAAAGCTTGTACTACGCCCATTGTTCTCTTGGGTGCGGATGCTGCGTTCGCCATGAGAACAAGTATAGCGCACGAAGAAGGGACCGGGAGCGGTTGCAGTGTTGACGTGTGTAGGAGTCAGGGAAGAAATCAAGGTTCGGACATGGAGTGTGTAACTGGATGAGGAGCCATAGCCGTAGAATAATCCTAATATACAACCATAACTAATCGCCTGTTAGAACGAGAATCTCGCTGTGTACGTATTCAGCCAAGGCCAGTCAAATAAAATCTATTAACTACCAGTTTATTTTGTCTTGATGTCTTTCTCTCACGTCAGTCAACTTCTCTATACATAACTGCAGTCCATGCGGATAGTTTATTTACTATATACAAACAATGCCTCGTTGGAAGATTCATGTTATTGTGTTACTGTTCCATGAGAAAAAGATACTTCATAGATTATATTGGAAAAGCCAGGCAGATATAATTCCAGGAACTATTCCTTCATACCTCCTATAACTATCCTTTGGCAGACTTCCATCGAGAATATATGTGTAGGGTAATTGTCTACTAGCTTGTAGCAACATATTACCAAAAATTTAATGGGAGATATCAAGGAGACTAGAATATGGACCCCTTCACATCAATCATTTGCCTTAGGGATACATTCATACCAGTACACTAGGTGCCAGTTGTTGTGATTCAATGATATTAGATACGAGGGAAATCAGGTCAACCTAAAAAGCGTGCATACAAATTGGCAGCAAAGAGGCTGGATATTCCATTTGACGATACTTTTAATTTTCAAACCGCTGGCTCATTTGCAGCTACTTTAGACATGACATTATAACATTAACATTAAAGGGTACTAATGGTGCAAAACCATACATAAAAAACAGCCAACAATGACACATCTTTTAAGGATTCGAGTACTTGGGCTAGTTGGCAACTGCGAAGTAGTATATCCCCACTGGAATTACACCACCCATGTAGCCACTCGGTACTCACTTTACCCATGACCAGCTCCAAAAGTAGTAGCTCAAAGACATAAGACGAAAGACAATGATACACGGGTGAGCAACGTGTTCTTTATACATCGGGGACAACAATGGGTATTAAGTTGGTTTGGGATCATGTCACTGAGTTGGTTCCCAATGGGCGGGTGATTCGAAGCAAGGCTTTACAGGAATCTTTAGGGTATAAGCAAGAGGAGGTTAGGCGGGGCAAGGTACGATCACACAAGCTGCTTTACGCAGCAACTTGTGCTCTCTCCTCCTCTCTCACTGCATCACCATTCTGGACAACCTCATCATCTTCATAGATATCATCGTCCTCTGCTTGTGACGGGGTATAATTAGGGTGTTGCTCCGCTGGCACCCAAGAGTCACGATCTCCACGCATTGACTGTTCATGGCTGCCCATGCCTCCTCCATCAGCACGAGCTTTTGAAATGTTATTCCGCCTTCGTTGGGATAAAGTTCGAGATCGTGTGGAAAGCTTTGAGTGAACTGCCGCGCTGGACGAGACCCAATTTGTCAATGCGTCCTCACAGTCCTGGATTATAGCTTTGCTAGCATCATATCCGTCATAAGCTGCCCTTGTTTCGCCAGGGGTAACGGGTGTGTCATCAATCAGTTCAACAAGGTGCTTTCCGTAGCCTGCAATAATTGCTAATTTCTCACAGTGCTCCCTCAATGCGTCAAACTGGTAGTTGAAGGCAGCCTTGACTTTTTCGCGGGTAATATTTGAAAGTTGTGCTTCAGCAACAAGAGATTCTGCTTCAGCTCGGACAAGCTCTTGCTCTAATACGACCAGGCGTGGTGAGTTAGGATCCTTGTATTTAAGCTGCGCAATCTGATCAGTGATCTTTTGTTTGCCTAGTGTGAAGTTAGTAAGATGATGTGTGACTGAAAGCAGAGTAATCATAGACTCACGGTCTCTGCTGGGTTGAACGGAAGCTTCAATATTACGGATACTCTTGATTGTCACCCGATATTGGTCGTACCGATCGATGAATTGGTCTTCCAGCTCGCCAATTTCATATATTAGGACACCAAGCTTATCAGTGATATCAGAAACATCGTCATCACAGCCTTCCCCCCACAGAGATAGTTGTTGCTACCAGCTAGGTTAGAATCTATGCCACGCATTTGGATGTTCACCTGTGGGACACGTACTGCAACATCCATTCGCTCTCTGCCGACCAATTCCATACTGCGCATAACGTTTTTCTCCATCTTCACAAGTTGTGAGAGCTTTTTGGCGAGGTCAGGGCCAAAGCTGCCGGCGGCTGTTTTGCGAAAAGCATGGCCTAAAGAATAGTACATCGTTAGCCGGGGGGGTATACCAGGGATATAAGCTATGTCGTGATTGGTATATTTTCCCTCTACCAATCGAGGGCTCCTTGGTATGTCCCACGCAAGTCCAGGAATGCAACACAGCGAATCCTCTCGCCAGAGAACAAGCAAAACATACCAAGGCTTGTGTTCCCAAAAAGTCTATTGGTCTTGGTCGACGAGATGGGTGGCGGGGGGGTCTCAATTTGGGACGCAGTGGGCGCACGAGTCTGGCGCAAAGAATACGTTCGGTGCATATTGAACGGCAGCACGTATGGTGAATCCAAACAGTAACGAAAGAAATAGGGATTAAAAATGTCAATCAATCAACGGAAAGCAGACGACTGTACAGCGCCGTAAATTCCTCCAATCCTCCTTCTTCTTGCCTGTTCTGTGGGAAGGAACGGAAGGAAATCAACGAAATCAACGAAATCAACGAAATCAACGAAATCAACGAAATCAACGAAATCAACGGACTTCTACTGTCAGCGGCGCAGAGAGTGACAGAGAGTGACTTTGCAGCCTCAGCAGCAGTATTCCAGCGGTAGCAATTGGCAGTATAATCGGTTGATCAGGGTGCGGTATCGTTGCAAGGGACTGACGGACGTCTGTAGGCGATGTTGGGTGTTTGAGCTTGGGTGGGAAGAGTTGGGCGTTTGTTTTGTTATTAAATATTCGGAAGGATGATGACGTCGTTGATGACTCAGCATCTCCCTCCTTTCAGCCGCTTCCACAGCCTGTCACACAAGCGGCTTTGTTCGATTTGGCAGTTTGGTATCTGTAGGGATACAAAGGAGCGAAGTTACTATTAGGGGGGTCCCTTGCAGGAGAGTGGCTTGTCTCTACTTTCGCCCACCGTCCCTCTACCAGACTCAAGTTGCAGCCCATCAAACGTCACATCGCTTTTCTACGTCATGTCTCCACCCGGGCTGCCAACATTGTGAATGAATCTGAAACGGAGACGGGGATTTACATTTGGTAGTTCAATCTAGAACAGCTGTGCTGGCTTCTCATTCGTGCAGATCATCGGAGAATTATCCGTGAGCTGCTCAAAAAGTCAATTGATAAGTGAGGGTGGCTGTACAAATTGCCGCTGAAGCTCTTATTCATATCCAAGTACAATTATATCCTCGTATCTTTTGCCTTTTTCCTGACCTTGTGTGGGGGCTGCTTGCTGGCAGTTTCATCGTCTACATCGATGGATGAGTCAGTGGCTCTGATCCGTCGTCTCGATGCTGCAGAGGCATTATCATCACTTCCAACAATTCTTTCAGCTGAATTGGTGTCCTCGTCGATGAACGAGCCCAAAGTTGTTTGTTTTGCTTCTGCTTGGTTCCTCAACCTTCCAAAAGCCTTTTCAATACGACTTTTGCCTGCAGTCCGCTGTCGAGGGGCAAAAGCTCCTGCGCCCTGAGGGCCTTGGAAGAACCCAGTTATATTTGATTGGGTACCCTCCTGCTCTCTTCGGTTTGCATCCCGTATTACGGGGACGAGGACTTCATCAGTCCGTTCCGGTGACCATCCGACTGTTGCCATTAGGAATTGTCTCACAGCATCTAAATCAGGAACTCCCCATTTAAACTCAGAGGGATCGGAATCTACCTCGGGTTCCAGATAAGCCTTCTCAACCGCCTTGTCTGGGAAACCTGGAGGTAAAAATAGCTTCGTGGTATTCTTTTTAAACTTCTTGCGGAACCCTGCATGGGGATCATCGGGGATTTTATTCCCTAACTGGACTTGTGACCACCAGTCCCTAAACTCTTCCAAGTCCGAAAATTCCGTGAGTATTTCAAGCGCCGTCACAGGACCTATGCCTGGAATACCCTCCGTATAGTCACTCCCTAGCAAGTGGGAAAAGCTGATGAGCTTTTTCCTATCCAATGTGTATTCCTTTTCTAGGTCGCTTGAAAGATAGCACTCCACATATTTCGACTGGTTGAACATGTTTTTGTAGATCCGGGTGCCTCCAAACAAAAATGTATCGCTATCGTCTGTGACAATACCGTCAACTAGCCCTAAAGCTACTAGTTCCGCACACTGCGCCTCAGCTTCCATTGGAGCCGTAATGTACGGAAGCCCAAATAACCGTAATAATTGCTGACATTCTGTAACCATGATTTGAGATACTTCATCAGCGTCCCGTCTATCCTTCTTCTGTTGGGAACGAAGTTGCTTCAATTCCTGCTCATAGTCGAAAGCATTTTCAGCTTGACTCTTAGAATTCAAAGTTGAAGCAAAGCGGGCATGTTCCTCAGCTTCCATAGCGAGCTGATACATCAGCTCGTCATCCTCGGGATCTGAATACTCGTCATCCCCATCAGGATACCCTCCCAATAGGTTCTCCGAGCCTTCAGCGTCCGCATTGAAAGTCGAAGGGCCAGAAGGCAGAGTCTGTGTAACTTCATCCCTAGCCCCAGGGCTTAGTGGTATAGGCATGGTGCTGGATACGTCTTCACTGCATTTAGACAACTCTTGAGGTTGGCGAATCCCTTCAACTTCCTCAGATATTGACGATTTCAATGTGGTATCTTCAGGTACATCAGGAGAAATGTTACTGGCAGTGCTTAGTGAGTGCTCAGTGGTCATGATTTTTTCATCCTGCAATTTCACCGGGGAGGTCGGTAGCTGGGCACTGCCACTCGGCGTGGGAGATGCCAGGTCAATGACTTCCTTCTCGGCGCCCTTATCGTCGTCGCTATCTGTTATATCTATCGCATTTGAGCGAGAGAGAACATTGTTGGTTTGTAACGACTGGTGGTAGTTCTTATTATGAGACTCCTCCTTTGATATGAACTCCTTTTGTTCAGATGGGCCCTTAAACCAAGGAGGAAGCGGTTGGGGTTCTTTTCCTTTAGGTTCTGAAATCTCAAAACCTCCAGCATCAGTATCTTCTGGGACCTTATTCGCGCTAAGAGGTTCCTGCGGACCCCTGATTACCCTCAGCGGTTCAAATGGTAGCGGACCAGAGAAGGGGTGAGAAGGCTGGGTGTTACTCGCTGGCTGCCTTGTAACCTTAGATTTGGCTAAGGCAGAGAAGAACTCCATATCATCATCACTATCTGACTGGCTTGGGATATCTTTCACATTGGTTGGTTCACTGGTGGTAGCTCTTCCTGCCCACTCTTCAAGTACAGGATGGTCAGCTTCAGGTATATCTTCCAGGGATAAGTCAATTGCTCTGGAAAGATCTTTAGATTCTTCGGCTTCTAAATTCTCGAAGAGTTCATCAACCCCAGCAGCCTCTGCTTCTGCCCCATCATCAACAAACAAGGCATCGTCCACACTACCTTCAGTGGCTTCCATAGCGTCCGTCGCCAACTGTGTGCGGCGCTGTTGTGCGATAGACTCATCGAATACACCCGGTTCAAATATCGGCAGCTTTGGAAGGCGATTGAGGCCTTCAATAGGTACATCCTCAAACTCTTCGCCCTCATCATCGTCGTCCGGCAAATGACTTTCCTCCTGTTTATCTATTTCAATGGGCTTGTTTATAGAAGACCCCTCTTTATTACCCAAAACACCTAGAGCCCATCCACCTTCGACTCCGCTGTCTTTCACTAGTATGTACTCCCTGTCTCTCTCTCCAGCAACTCGGGAAGACCCGCTTCCATAAGCAAGATTATCACCATTCATCCCATTGAGATTCATGAGGCGTTGAGTAAGGCTATTACGCTCAGCCACTCGCTCTATTTGGAATCTGGAAAAAGCCATGCGGTCCGGAAACATGGTGTCTAGCTGGTCTTTAGAATACCCCATTCGTAGCCTGCTTCGAAGCCTGGCGGCGTTCAGTATATTATACCGATCGCTAGCGGGTAGGCTAAGGAAAAATGGCCCGTCAAAGTCAATTTTTGAAAAATCATAGAGATTGATATTTTCACCAGACTTAAACTGCTGTGCGTAAGCTTCCAGTTCTTCGTGTGACATGATCCTGGGGTCATTCGGTGCGCCCATCTCTGCTAGAGACATCTCCAGCTCTGGAAGATGATACGCATCAGTTTTCCTAAACTGTCTATTTCTTTGCCTCTCTGCCTTGGTCATTAGGATTTCTTCGGCATAGACTAATTCGTCTGGCAGCTGTTCCTCTTGCGGTTCATGTTGAGATTTTGTTTTTCTTCTTGCTGCTTCCTCCTCAGCCTGCCTTTGGATTTGAATGGCCAACAATTTGCTAGCAGTTCTTGCAGCATCTTCTCTTCTTCCTTCTCTGCGTCTCTTCCGGTTTGCAATAGTCTGTCGCTTGAGTATCGGTGCGCCACCGTCAAAAACGAAGACCGGCTTAATGCCAAAATAGAGTAGTTTGCATATTCGCCTGAAAAATCCAACGATATGTGCATTTCGTAGGGCATTACCCTCTTTATCACGTACGGCTTTGAGAAATTGGTATATCCATATAGATGCATCGATGGCGAGCCTCCTCTTGTTAAGGGTTTCGAGCTTGATAGGCCGCGCGCAAGGCTTTACGACCGTCCAAAGACCGGTCACACCCATGACGTATAGCCAGCGGCAGTATTGACATGGACAGCACAATGCTTGCCAACATCACAGCTTGTACTCCCGTGCCTGTCTCTAGATAGATAGAGTCTTCGTGGATGAAGTGAACATGAGTCGAAGATCGAAGCTTCAGCCGCTTCAGCCTGTTAGTCAAGGCACCAGCTTAGTCATCCTGGAGACGCGTGATCACGTGTTTATATGAGGCTCTAAACCTTATTTTGCACTCAAAACTTGTTCCCCTCCAAAATTGAACATGAAAATTGATAATTTCCTAGAGGGGTAGAGGGTCGGTTATAGGATAAATTATTGATATGAATAAGTTGCCATTTCATAGAAATTTTTGTTGTATACATAATTAGCATCGATGTCATGCTCAATCAAGGTGAATCTCCAAGCTATCCCTCCTCGCTTTAATTTTGTGCTTTTTGCACTAAAAATATTCGCAGAACCATGACACATGCCTTCCCATAACGGCCCTTAAACATGTTAATATACCCGGCAGAGGATTGCTACTTAATGGCAGTGGACCATTTGTTCAACTACTTGATGAATCCAATGGCATCTTGCTTGATCGATTCCGAGTGTTTGAACGAAATACTGTTCATGGAATCCAGGCGATTGAAGAGTGCTGGAGGGATGGCAACGATTATACCTCCAGTTTCCTAGTGTGGGGAGGATATTCTCTTCGAATTGTCAATTTGCATTTGCAAGGATCGAGGGAAACAGAAAATGTATCTCTATTGGCAGGAAGTGGTGAATGTCGTGCGCCAGATTGGATTTTGGATACAACCGTTCCTAGTACCAGCGCCGACAATAAAGGGGCTATCAAGGGATTATTAATTACTGCACATAACGTAGTTTTTACCCTTACATTCCTCCTCCACAAAACTGAACTGGGTGATGAAAACATTATCCAATTGCATGAACTAGGATCGAATCTGAGACCTATTCTATACTCTGCTGATATCACCTGGAGCTCCAACCGCGTCCTTGTTGCTGCTGGAACAGTATTCGGCGAGATAATAATATGGTCCTGTCAATTAGCGCTGGATTCAGATCCATGCCAGCAAGTCGATGATTCTATAACCATCAACCACTTTTTCACTGGCCATGAAGGCTCAATATTCGGGGTGGATATTTCCCCAGACATCCCGATAAACGGTGGACAGACAACGAAAAAATTTGTTGCCAGCTGCAGTGACGATAGGACTGTCCGTATCTGGGATATATCTTCATACGACCAAGGGTTCGCCAGCAACGATGAATTATCAGCCTGTGAAACCAACACAAATAGCCGTGGAACTGGATTCTATATAACCCCGGCCGATGAAGCATCTGCGGCGCAAGAATTCTGTCTTGCGAAAGAATATGGCCATGAAGCACGTATATGGGGGATTCGATTTCTTGACTTCGAGGTCTCTGATGACTACATCACCTTCAACTTGATATCTAGGTCAGAGGATTGCACCTCTGTCGTTTGGAACCTCACAACAAAATATGAACTCGTCAATGATAAATATATACTACGGAAAAACCAGACTACCTTGAAGCCAATATCATCTCATTCCTACCATGTGGGTAAAAATATATGGTCCATGGATGTTGTCGAAAATATGGGTTCATTTGTTGTGCTCACTGGGGGGGCAGATAGCAATATATCATCCCTTATCGTTCCACAGCTAACTGGAGCGTATATTCCCGGAAGAAGGGCAGAGACTTATACATACGACAGAGTTTATGATGAATTCCTTCGCATTAACAACCACCCTGTTGTGAGTAATGGGCGCACAAAGAATTCTAGAAATGATGGCAAAATAAACTCCTTTGGATTTATTTCAGAAGATTCTTTTATCGCGCCATTTACTGAAGGAGTTGCTCTCCTTGGTCAGGTTTCCACAGCCGAGCCGCAGGATATACGATCACAGGACGGAAGCGTGGTAGAGTGGAGCACCATTCCTACAATTGGAGGAGTAGGTTCCTATGGGGCGATAACTGGCATTCCAGAGAGGGAGATTGGTCTAATCGGCACGAGTACTGGGCGACTACTATGGTACAGTCACAAAGAAAGACGTGTGGAGGAGCTCGCAGATATAGGCCAAGGGATATCCGATATCTTCGTCATTCAACCCCCCAAGGGCTATGATGGCAATGATAGCTGCCCTGTTACATTTATCAGCAGCTCTAGGGCATTTTCACACGCCAACCTTTTTATTATTGAGACTTCGCCATCCCCTAAAGTCCTTGCAAATCAAAAACTTGCATTGCCAGCAGAATTTGTGGTCTCAAGTGCTTTTTCAATTCCCTCGATGTCATTGCTGATCCTTGGTGCTAGATGGGGAGACATTGTCGTGTTTCGTTTTAGCTTTGAATTACAGAGAGAAATGCCAGAAGATCCGTTATGTGTCTTCCCCACGCACAAAAAGGATGCAGTCACGTCCATCACCTACCTGCGGGAAGACCAAAACTTAAGTTTTGTGGATCTTATTACAACGGGAAGGGATGGAACCTATTGCATCCATCGACTTGATAGGTCGGGCATTCAGTTCAAGATGGAAACACTTCACCGGATAAGTGCCCCATTCGGTCCATATATTGAGGGTTCCAGACTAGATCCTAAGACAGGACACCTGATACTATGGGGTTTCCGAAGCACATATTTCATTTTGTGGGATGAGACAACTCAGACAGAAATCTTGTCAGTTGAATGTGGAGGTGCTCATAGAAGATGGACATACCATTTCGGGAATATGGGCCATGTGCTCTTGTGGATTAAGGCATCGACTTTTAATATTATGTCAGAGCAATTCCAGTGTCATCGCCGTGTAAGACAAGGGGGACATGGCAGGGAAATAAAAGCCATGTCAATATCCAAAATGCAGGTTGACAGCGCTAAAGCCCCATGGACGGTACTTGCAACCGGCGCTGAAGATACTGAAATTCGTTTCTTCACGCTTAACGAAGGGCCAGAAGGGAAGGATGGCTTTCGTTCCATACGAGCCATCAAGAAACATAGCGCAGGCTTGCAGCACCTCCAATGGTCAACGAGCGGCAGATTTTTGTTCAGCAGTGCCGGAAGGGAGGAGTTCTATGTCTGGAGGATTAGATGGATACCTGGATTTGGGATCGGTGTTTTGAACGAAAGTGAAGCTCCCAAGTCTCGAGCGAATTCTGATCTACGGACAACACATTTCGACGTTATCAACGTCACAGCAGTTGATAGCGGGCATGAATCATTCCTGATCGCCATGGCCTACTCTAATTCGACTGCAAAGGTAAATGAAACCCCCAATTTACTTCTGAACGCCTATGTAACATGACGTTGACGGGAAGTACCCCACAGGTATTTCACTATTTGTCGTCTGCAGAAGGTGGAGAGTTTACACTCCTAGCGCAGGGGGTATACACAAGCAACTGCCTTACACAAATCCGGCTAGTGATGTCGGGTTCTGAGCTGCAACTTATCACAGGGTCGACAGATGGACACATAGCAGTTTGGGATTTAACACCATCGATCAAGCCATATTTTGATTTAGGCGGCAGATCTATCAAGCGCAGGGATGCCGTACCGTTCCCTGCCGAGCCGGTGTCGATCAAATGGGGGGATCGTAGACCCGCACACCAGAGCAGCATAAAGGCAATGGAGCTGCTCCCGCTATCAGGGGCACAAGTCCTGCTCATCACTGGTGGAGATGATAATTGCCTCGCCTTTTCGACCCTCAGATTCTCGGAGTCTTCAAACTCCGGGCCCCGTCCGAGCCTTATCAGCCGCTTCTCAACGGCTTCGTATCCAGATGCGCATGCTTCGGCAATCAATGCCATCAGCCAGGTGCGGCGGATTGAACATGGGGCGGATAAAAGGATGGTTGAATTTCTTGTCGCATCAAGCGGGAATGACCAAAGGATCAAACTATGGTCTGCAATGGTTGATAGTGTAGACGGGGATGTTCAGGTATCTCTGCAGGGCGATGTGTACACCGCCGTGGCCGATCTGTCCGCAATAGATCAATTCACAGTGAAGGCCAGCGGACAAGACAGGGAGCACCTTGTTCTCTGTGGTGTTGGTATGGAAATGTGGGAAGTTTGTACATAGTATTCCGTAGTGACCATGATGATGCATGCAGTGATTAAGCATCTCTCCCCGGTCAAACCCATCAATCTTAAAAGGGATGCAGGTGTCTATATATTGGGTCTACCCCAGGGTACCCCAGGTTACCTGCCTATCAACTTTCTTCTCCGCTTCTCCGCTTCTTCGCTCCTGTCCCTGTCTCCTCGTCCTTCGACTCGGCTCACCGTTTGCTCAGTACGAGTTAGTTATCTCAATGCGCATAATTTTATGCACAAAGATGCCAAGCTTTGTACTAAATAATGTTTCACGTGACTTACTCTTTACCTAGGTAAGCATGCGTGCGCCAAGACTCTCGACAGGAGAGAAACACGACACTGGTCACAAAATGCCAAATTCGACATAACCGGTGACAACGACGACGAGGAATAATTAGACAAGGGGCATATGACACAGCAGGTTGCAATGGAGAGAGACGAAGCGCGGGAGTACCTTGAGAGCCTGGTGGACAAGGTCCTCCGTGTACACACCTCGGACTCGCGAGTGTTCGTAGGTTTGTTCAAATGCACAGATAACGTGGGTAAACCTGCGACATTCCTCAGGTTCGACATTGGGACTTGCGGATAATTAAACTCTGGATATTGTGTTATATATAGGACCGAAATATGATACTGAACACCACGCATGAGTATCGCTGCCCAACAGAGCCAGCTCCTGCTGAACAAGCCTCTTCGGATGAGGTGGAAGGCTCGAAGGCCGCCTGCAGCGCACCACTCGATCTTAATACTGACATGTCCCGGCGGTTCATTGGGCTGGTTGTGATTCCGGGCCAGCACATCACAAAGATCGAGCTTGATAAATCTACAATAGGTGCACACTGTGGCTGAGAACGATGGCCAGTGTCTCAACATTGACCATAAAACAAATAAGGCAACTCGAGAGGCACCTCCCTTTTTTATCACCCTCCGACAGCGGCGAAGTGGGTTGAATCACACGGGTGCATAAAAGCCAAGAAAGCTGGACTGGGGTGTTTTGTGCGCCTTGACGTGCGGCGGGGGAGAAACAAGGACGGGAGGAGTAGGGAAAATTATTGTCACAGAGACAGAGGGGGAAAAAAGGAATTAAATAACATGGAGGAACCGATCAGCAGGAACCACGTTCCGCAGGACTGCTGGCTGGAACATAGGGTGCATCCGATATAGCTACGCACAGCCCAAAACGGCAGCCTGGAGTGTGTGAGCTTCTCTGCACGCCGAGTCCGTGGAGAGGTGTTTTTTTTTTCCCTCCTTGAACGCTCAGGTCACACCAAAGGAGGCTGCCACGATATCGACCCGCATAAATGTGGCGAATGTATTACTTGCAAAGGACTGCGCAGAACGGGTGTAGTAATCGAATATGCTCCGTATTTAGACCGACAATAGGTATTGGGGAAATGCAGACAGTACTCCATAAAATATGATCTCGAGTCTTCGTCGTCTTTTTCGTCTCTTCAGTCGGAACAATAAACTTCGCGGGAACACGTCCCAGATATCCAGTTATCGTGGAGGAACAGTGACCCTCGCGATGGATCTGCAGCCGTTGCTGGACTAGTCCTGGCCAGGCCTCAGCAGCAACAGGCCATTTGATGAAACCGAAAGTTAGCGTCCACTGTGATTCGCACTTCGGGACGATAAGCGAGCATCACATTGGACGAACTGGTTGGGGGCACGTATATTGCTTTTAGATCGTCAGAATCAGCAACAACAGGGAGCTCAAGCAGCTTCTGATACACGAGACGACTGATAGACAGAGCAGGTATATATATCTGCTTATCGAGCTTCCAGGCCGAAGAATAGCATCCGTACTCCGTATTCCATGCTCCATCAGTAGAGTCGATAGCTGGCTTATATACGTGTCTTTGCTGTGCACTTCTGTACTCCCTGCCGCTGCCTGCAAGCCCTGGCGCTGTGAGACCTCGCCATAAGGCTGACGCCCGTCCTCACTGACTCCTCGTCTTCACCACCGCCGTCACTGTTCCTGTTCTCCCCCATCGTCCCATCGTCGCGCTCTCTCACCGTCTCTGTCTGTCGGTCTCGTCCCATCTTGATATCTTCAAAGGTCAAAATAACCTCGCCACGCGCGCTTCGGCAAAACGAAGTTCCGGCGCCGGCCTGTCCGTCCCTTTTTTTTTTTTTTTTTTTTTTTTGCCTTTTTTTTGCCTTTTTTCGCTCCCGCATCTCGACTTTATCTTGAAAGGGAAAACCCATCGCCGAACTTCTTCGCCCTCAACTCAACCTCCGTCCAAGCCGTCACCAAGTACGCCCGCCAGCAAGCCACCCGTTCAGCTTCTCACGCACAAGAAGGAGAAGACGACGACGACGCCGACGACGAAACCTGCCGCGGACTCCGTGTTTTGCTACGTCTAATGTCTGCCGACACTCCTTAGGACCCTCCTCTACCCGCAAGTTGGTCTGCAGCTTTGCCCCTGCTCAACTTGAGTCCCTTTATCTCTCTGAGCCTTCCACCACCGCCCCTCCTCCCTGCTCTCTCGCCGCCAGATAGGTGCGTAACACATACACAGCCCGGCGGGAATCAATCCACGGCCATCCTGCTGTCTGCCAGCGCTCGCTCGTCCGCGGATCGCCTGCCGGAGACGCTGGTTGCTTCTTTGTGGACCTGAAACTAACTCGCCACTACCCGTAGATACCGCTGGAAAATCCTATAGTGCCCAGATCCTGACCCTGCCACCCCCGTCAAAAGGCGTTACTTTCTCTTGCGTTCCCACTGTCTTCATCCTTGCTCAGACGAGCGGTTAAATCTACGAACCTGGAGCCATTTCACCGTCGTCGTGCTCCTCTTCCTCCTCCTCACAATAACCTGGACGACCGTCTCACGTCCACCATCAAGTCTTGCAAGATACTGTCGCACACTACCTCATTTGTAGAGGCTAGTTTCCTCTGCTTCATCTCCACCCTCTTCGAGCCACCTTAACGGTCATTTCTTCAAAGCAACCTGAAACAGCAAAGAACGGTAAAGTAGAGGAGAGAGAAACGAAAGGAAAACCAAGGCAGGATACAAACAAGACCAAGATACAAGTCCTCTTCAGCATGGGACAGCAACAATCGAAGAATGTGTCCCGGTCGAATGGGGGAGGATTGCAGGTCGAAGGCTTACAAGCGTATCCTTCGATCTCCAAATCCGACACCAAGGACTCCAGCCGTTCCATCCGTGGCTCGATTCGCTCCAAGATACCAGGAAGTGGCAGGAGTGATAGGACGGACAGCCCGAGGGCCTCTAATGGAACCCTTGCGCGCTCAGACAGTGCTCCTCCCGAAGGGTTAGACGCTGCCTTTGCTCGCTCCTCCATTTCGCGACATGCCCGCAACCTCTCTGGCTCTTCTATGCCAATTCCACCTATCAGCTCACAGGACGATTTGCAGGATGAAGCGCCAAACCCACCACCTTCTCCTCCCCATTCATCATCAATCGGTCGTGGCCACAAGGATGTCAAGGCCGCACAAAAATCTGGAGAAGTTGACCACGTGTCCGATGCTGGTCCACAACATGTTGCTCCAACGACCGTTGCTCAAAAGGCCGGCGAGTCCATCCTGATCAAGAGAGAGAATTCTCTCAACCCCGTCTTGAACGAGTCCGGCGCCAGGTCGGTAATAGACCAGAATGGGACCAACGGATCCCCCGGCATGACTATTGGAGCACTCAAGTCCATCGATGTTGATGATATGATAACGCGACTCCTTGATGCTGGCTATTCCACCAAAGTCACGAAAGCAGTGTGTCTCAAAAACGCTGAAATTATTGCCGTCTGCACCGCTGCTCGCGAACTTCTCTTGACACAACCAGCTTTACTCGAGCTCTCAGCACCAGTGAAGATCGTCGGCGATGTTCATGGCCAATACACTGACCTGATCAGACTTTTCGAAATGTGCGGATTCCCTCCAAATTCTAACTATCTTTTCCTTGGTGACTACGTCGACAGAGGGAAACAATCTCTAGAGACTATCCTTCTCTTACTCTGCTACAAGCTTAAATACCCCGAAAATTTCTTCCTACTTCGCGGAAATCATGAGTGCGCCAATGTTACACGAGTTTATGGGTTCTACGATGAGTGCAAACGTCGATGCAATATTAAGATTTGGAAAACATTCGTCGATACGTTCAACTGCCTTCCTATCGCTGCTATTGTTGCCGGCAAGATATTCTGCGTTCACGGTGGCCTCTCTCCCAGCCTTTCTCACATGGACGATATCCGCGGTATCGCTCGACCAACTGACGTTCCTGATTATGGACTATTGAATGATCTACTATGGAGCGATCCAGCAGAAATGGAAGAGGACTGGGAACCTAACGAACGAGGCGTAAGTTATTGCTTTGGTAAAAAGGTCATTATGGAATTCTTGCAGAGACACGACTTCGACCTTGTTTGTCGCGCACACATGGTTGTCGAGGATGGCTATGAGTTCTTTAACGATCGCATCCTTGTCACGGTTTTTTCTGCTCCTAATGTAAGCTGCTCTTTTTCCCCTGTTAATGTTACATTAACATCGTCTAACTGTTTTCATAGTATTGCGGCGCATTCGACAATTGGGGAGCCATTATGTCCGTCTCTGATGAACTCCTCTGCAGTTTCGAGCTGCTCAAGCCTCTCGATTCAAGTGCTCTGAAGAACCACATAAAGAAAGGCAGAAATAAAAGAAACAACGTCCTCAACAGCCCAGTAAGTTCTCACCCTTCATCGCCGTCGACTGTTAATCCGTTTCTCAAAACGGCAAATCGTATCTATGATATAAATACTAACTCACTTCCCTCTAGCCTGCTATGGTTTCTGCGCAGAGTTATTGAGAGTGATCTAAGATACCCTACCTACTTTTCACACCCGCTAGAGGTCTACTCTTAAGTGTCGTACGAGAGGGGGGAGAGAGAGAGAGAGAGAGAGAGAATTCAAGAGCCAGACGCTTCTTATTTCCTTCCACTAATTGCTGGCCTTTTCAGCCTTGCACTCTTCTTCCTCGTGCTACAAACAGTTTATTAAGGGTTGGGAATTTATTGCGTACGCCTACTATAACCAACATGCAGCCTGAAACGGGACGGATAACTAATACCGACGCTGCGATATATGAACCAATACCACCCGCCGTTCTCATCCCAACTCAGTCAATCCATACTCCATGGCAAGGACAAGAACCCATGCCATGCCATGCCATGCCATGCTGTCTTAGTCCAACAGACACCCGCATGACTCGCCAGCCTCCCATGAAACCGAACAAGAATGCCCGACCAGCCAATCATTAACGATTTCGCAAGCCTCGCTTTCCCAGGTCCAGGTGCCTTATCAGCACACCATATCCGGCTTTCCACGCTTCCTAGGATCTTACTTTTCGCCTCTTCTTCCCTGTAATTATTGGACGTATCTACATGCACAAGACCGGGAGAACTTGATGTATTTTTTGTAGCGACATGACCACTTCTTTTTTTCTTCTTGACGCTTTGCTCGGCTTTCGTCTGTTTAATTGGTGTGATGATAGCCGGTGTCATGAGCGAAGGGACTGTAATATTTGCATCCATTAAGGCTCCCGTGGCTTGTTCTTTTGCTCTTTGACGTGTTCAATGAGATTTCTTTTACTCTGTTCTACTTTTATCATGACTGCTTTTGTTGTTCATTTCGTGCTTTTCATATTTTTCTTCTGTTTATACCTAGCAAATTAATACCACCTCTTTACTGTCTACTCTGCCCCGTTCGGTTTTATATATTATACCTATACTTAAAAAAAAAGAAAAGACTCGTTTCTTGTCTCTTATCCCTTTCCGGTACAGCTTCTTTTGATGCACATGCAGATGTTTTGATAATCCCACGTGGAAGGTGGAAGGAATAGTTACTTTTTTTTACCGTTCTTCAATTGAATAACAATCGCCCCCGTCCGCTGTCCAGAAAATAAAGATTCTAAAGACATACACTCATGTCAAATAATACGTTAATAACATTAACTAGAGGTAACCTGTAGTGACAACTCCAAGGTTGCAGCTTTCCTACATAAAATAATCCAATGGTAACAATTCCAACCCCCGGAGAAGAGGGTAGCCATCCATCTGCTTCCGCTACAAGACGGACTGGTTCAAAATAGCAGATGAAGTGTGAAGCATGAGAATGAAACTAAGGATGATCAAAAAAAAAGGGAAAAGGATAAAGCATCACTGTAGTCAAACATGGTAATGAAAAAAAAAAAGGGGGGGAAGAGGAAGGATAAGAGAAGCTTTCTCCAAACAAGATATATCATCGGTAATAGGGATTATGATATAAAAGTAAGATAGACGAGACTTGGAATGCCAGTTTCAAGCACTCTGGATAATGATGGGGAAAGGGAGAGCCGTAACGTAGAGATACGAGAGGTAGATAAAGGGAACAAAGAGAAAAAAGGAAAACGGGCCGGGGTGAGATGGAGCGACCTGATAACACCCCTCATATGTACAAGGCGAAGAAGAAGCAGGGAAAAGGGGCATCAAAGATAAGACAGAATAATAGAACGTAATGTATGGGGTTGGCTGGGAAGGAGCCGATATAAGGAGCCAAGAAGTGGTTGGGGTATTGGAGGCCAAGTGAGGTGGATTCAATTCTTTTTAGTCAATTTTGCCCCGTCTTGGGTAGAAAACACAACTCGTTTGATGGTGCTTCTCGTTCACATATTTTTTTAGCTGGATGGCTTATTGGAATCTTCTGAGTTTGGCATCCCTGAGCTTGCAGAAGAAACCAGCGTTGGTGCAATTCGTTTTCTCTTTGGCTCTCGTTGGGCGGCGTTGTTTCCTGTTTGGTCGTCTTCGTCCTTGTCATGAGAGTCTTCTTTCTCTGATTCGCTAACCGTGCTTATATCTCGCTTCCCCAAGACACTTCCACTAATGGAATTGGTAGCGCTATGGGACGACATGGGGGTTTCCGGTGGCGTGCTAAAGGGCTGGCTAGAGTTCGTGGCAGTGACTGAGGGTACAGTGCCAAGAATAGGAGTTGGGTTGTTCACAACATTAGCTGCCTTGGAAGTAGCCGAAGAAGGTGTGGCTGGGCCAGAGCTAGCTGCACGGGCAGGGACTGCGGTTGGGGTTGGCGCCGGGGTTCCAATTGCCGCTAAAGAAGCCTTGCCAGCGGAATTTTTGCGGGGAGAAGTCAAAATTGGTGATTGTACAGTGGGGGCATTTGAGGACACTCCCACGTTAGATGAGATCGGGTGTGGCTTCTCCATAGTGTACACCTGGCCTAGTTCTCCGGGAGAAAAGGAGAGCGATGAGCAGAATCCATCAGAGGAACTCATTATAAGGGTAAGCCCGTCGTGCGACCTGATATTTTAGTTAGTATCAAACTAGGTATTGAGGAAAGTATAGATAAGAAAGAACCTACCAGGAGAGATCGGTAAAGGTAGCAAAGTGCAGGTTATTTACTACACAAAGCGGTGTCTGCTGCTGCGTATCGTATACCAGAACTGCATCTTGGGTTGCAACAGCGTAAACCATGCGATATGGCAACGCAAATACTGGGGGAATAGGGGTGTTCTGTGAGCCGGTGTCATTTTCGTTTGTCCCCAGTTGAGGAAAAGAACGTGCCGTCTCGCTAGTGGCTGAAGGTGGAGCACTAGATGGAGGCTCCATAGCTGGCTGAGAAATAACAGAGTCCGGGAGGGATGGGAATGCCTCTTCACCGGATGAGGAATCCAAAAATATCTGGCGAGTGGGCTTGGTGCCTTGCCTCAATGTATAGTATACTGGGGAACATTTAACAGCAACAGACGGCTTTTTATGGCCTGGGAGATGAGCTATTGGCGGTTTGTTGAAACCAGCGCGGGTGTAGACGTAGACTGTGTTAATTATATCTTCCACGACCTTATCGTTCTGACCGGCAAGGGAAACCTTGTACTGTCCGGCTGGTGTGAAGAGCAAGCTGCCATCTGGAGCAAATGTCAAGCGTCTGAAGAAAGAGTTGAAGGTCTCGTTGGCATAAATGCTAGCGTTCTTCACGCCTATTCCACCAAAAAGGCCCGGGGATGCAGCCTCGAGAGGTTTCACAGCAGGTAACGGCATAGAAGGCGCCGGAGATGCTGACCTGCGGATTGATGGTGAAGAACCAAATGAGGAACGGCGGCTGAGAGAGACAGGCGGCGGATCCATGGGCAGAGGAGCCGTCAAGGGAGTGCCTGGCGTTGAAGCACCAGGGGAGGACACAGTCATAGGGTTTCCCGAGGCCGATTGAACCCTGTTTCCACCAAAGTCAGGCACCGGGCTGCTTGAAGCTACCCGTTTCGCTGGAAGGTCCATCTTCAAAAACTTTCCATGCGTTGTCAAAGTGAATTGGCCGTCATTTGTCTTGAGAGCGTAGATATGCACCGATCTATCCGAAGACTGTGTGGCCACGTACTCGTTCAATGGGTCCCAGGCAACGCCCTGTACATAGTGAGAGTGCTCAGCAATCTGTCGAACCATCTGGCCTGTAAGGAGCTGTTAGAATTGTGCTACAATAAGTTCACGGATATGTGTAGTTAGTCAGTACCTGTCTGAGCATTGTAGATCCGAGCAATGTTGTCCATGCTGCCGGTGATGATAAAGACACCATCTGGAGACCATGCTAGATCGTATATCTCTGCTCCTGACGATCTACACATGTGCTTCACTCGCCAGGTTTCCTTATCGTCCAATGCATCCTGTCCGAACGCCGGCTGTGTTTGTGTCTCGGAGGGAACCCAGAGAAGAACGTTGCCATCGTCTCCGGCAGATGCCAGCATCTCTCCTATACTTATGTCAGTTTTTTTTTTATTGAGATTCATATACATGTATGTCTAAGGGACAGGGGCGGAATAGACAGAAAAAAAATACCTTTGGGGCAGAAGCGGACAACATTGACGGCCTGCGTGTGCTTGATCAGAGTACTAAGGTAGGTAACCTTGCGCTCTTCTCCGGTTGACTCGACCTTCCACAGCTATCCAAATGTCAGAATCATGAGGGATTGGAGCTCCCAAAGAAAAGATGGAGCAAAAAAAGGGGGGGATATAGGGAGGAAGAGCTTAGCCGTACGCGAACGTTGTTATCACTATTTTCATCAGCCGGTTAGTTTACCAGTACCACGCAGCTTTATCAACAGAGAGATCTTGGTTCATTTTCAGAGAGCAAACGTACTTCCCAGCCGTGGCCAGTCGGCCCTTGCCATGAGGATCGAAGTGCACCGAGTAGATAGGGGCATTGTCGTCGTGCCAGGCAATGAGCAGAGGGGTGGCCTTCATCGTAGCGGTTTAATGACAGCCAACAGAGGGCCGACCAAAACGAGCCGGAAGTTCCCCTGCTGCCAGGAGCGTGGTAGAGCGTCTGTCGACTGGCGCCGCAGCTTCAGGATCCGCCTGTTATGCCAGCTGAGAGGGCTATCCAAAACCAGCTCGTGGGCTGCGTGAGACGGGGAGCTCTGGTCGAATATCCGGGGGTGTTGTGTTTTAGTTAGCTTCGCAGGTCAAAACACCATTGAAGCGACGGCGACACAGGCAGGTCGTGGGCTCGTCGGGGCGAGTATCCAAGCCAAAGAGGCTGCTGGCTCAGCAATCGGGGGGCTTGCAGCGGCGGGCGATGGCTGCGAGGAGCGATGGTGGTGGTCGTGGTGGTGAGAGGATGGAAAGCAGAGAGCAACGCAGGCGGTTGTCAGCGAGAAGTCAAGACGCAGCTCCGCCAACAACAACTACGTTACGTTAATTAACTAACTGGCTGGATGTGATGACGCCCTGCAACGAACAAGCCCACCACTCTCGAGGGCGCATCGACTATTTGTTCATGCAAACAGCTCCTTGCCACGGCCTGTTTGTTTGTTTGTTCGAATGCTCGCCAGCCAGCCAGCCAGCCAGGAAAGCCAGGCGGAACAGGAGCTGAGTGGCCGGGCGAGTTACGCGGAGTCGTGTTTCCTCCAGCTAGCGACGGCTGGCCTGCATGACTAGCTGCGATAACATCCTATGCAAACCGCCATGATTGGATCTCACATACGGATCTCGACTGGCTCTCTGGCTCTCGATGTCCATCTCTGCCTCTCTGCTGATACGAGGCGTGGCCAGCCTGTTGCGATGCCGCCGAAAGAGACAAGGACCGTGAGATTTACATACTACCACCAGCCAATATAGTTAGTTAACTACTGAACAATCTGGCTGTCAATTAATATACGGAGTGTATATCGTTGACTTGACTGTAGTTCACCAGGACACCCTTTGGTAAGGTCTCCTTCACTCCGTCTGCTGCTACTACTATATAGTTGATGTCCAGCCGGCGCCGCGAAGACCAAATATCATCTCCTTCCAGCAACAAAGCCTCCTGCAGACTCCCAGGAACGAGATCGATACCCCTGATAGAAGGCTTGGGCATCTGTAGAGACAGCTCTAAACTCCTAGTTCCAGGCTTTATCTGCCTGTTGATTCTATATATCAACCTTATGGAAGCAATATTGCTTGCGAGCACAACCCCAGATCTCAGCTGAAAAGAAACAAACCATCTAAAGAAAGCAGAGGATTTCGTTCCTGACAGAGTGCTTGACATGGAAAGCTTCCTCCGACAACTTCGGCTTTCCTCAGCTTTTGTAAAGAGAATAGCCGGAGTAAGTTTGAAGAGAATTCCTGGGTATCGAAAGATGTACCTTCATCCTGCTGACTCGGTTGTTTTGATACTGGGTTTCTGTTATTTCGAAACCATGGGTTATATCATGTCAATTATTACTAGTTACATCCATCAATCCATATTCTGGCCCTTTGTACCCTCCCCTAACAACTCTGGAGAGCTATTGTACTTCCCTGTGATATAACTCCTAGGGGTACTAGCGGAGGCTTGCAGAGTCTGTTCGCTCACAATTTATAAGGATAGCCAGCATAGCAGGCCATACCAGCGAGCAGATAGACCGTGTAGATCCTCATCTGGTGGCTTTAAAGGCCTCGCCGGCCTAGTGGCAGCTTAAACGGCGTGCTCCTACTCGTAAGCTGAAGGTCATTGAGGATTTGATATATCAAGGTGGACAGAGAGAAAGCTTGCAACGCCAGGACGCCAGGACGCCAGTGGATTGTGCTTTTCAAATGCAGACAGACTGGTGTACCAGAAGGTAGATAGATCATGCTAGCCAGCTCCCAATGGTCTCTCCAAACCAGCTGGAGAACTTTTCTCTTCGTTTGTTCTTCGCCTCTTCTTCGGCCTTCAGTACCGGTGCCACCTCCTTCATGTAAACATCTCGTTGAGCCATCTGTTGTTTCAAAGACTGCACCTCCAACTCCCGCTCGTGTGGTGTCATCTCCTTCAACGGCTTATATGGCTTCGCCCCGGCCGGCAGGCCCTCTCCACCCGGTATGAGACACTCGTCATCCGGCCGGCCAAGCTGTTCGGACGCCGCTATCTCTGCTTCTGACTTGAACAGAGACTTTGGATGTGGAGGTTCACGGCCTGCTTCTTTTGCTTCAGCCACCCTTCTTTCGTAGTCCAACATACGATGGTATAGTTTGTCCGCATGCATCTGGATCCGCTCTTCCTTTTCCATGTCCCATACAAACGAGGAGCCGTACCCTAGAGCTTGAAGGAATTTCTATGAAGGCATATCAGCACCTGCAAGACAGCCTCTCAGGAGCCAAAGAGTGTCGATACTCACAGACTGCATTGTATAACACCTCGAGAAGCGCGCATTCTGCTCTCCACACATGGTCAACCGCGCCTTGATCTTGTCTGCAAATGTCCCCCTCTTGAAACACAGCGATAGATCTTCATGCTCTTCCGAGCAATTCTCCAACGCAGCTCTATTCAGCACATCCTTTCGTTGTTTAAACTGCTCGACTACCCTTTCCGCCGGTGAGATGCTGGGCCCTTCGATCTCCTCGAGGGTCTTGTAGTCTTTCCATATGTGTGCATATCGTCCGTCCGGGAAAAGCGAGGCAGAGGGAACGGGGCTTGCAGCTTCAGCTGTTCGATCTTGCGAGCTAGAGGACTCTGTAGGCGCCTTCTCTGGCGATTGGTTCTGCTGCTGCGGCGGTGTTATGCCAGCTGCTGTGGGCGTATATTTGGCCGGAGACTCCTGTTCGAGGTACTCTCGCAAGCTGGGATCCAGCTTCTTTGTCGGGTCAGCGTCAGAAGACGAAGAGTTGCCCCAAAACCAGCCCATTGATTCTGCTGGCAGTCACGGCTTCTGGTATGAATAGTTCGTCTGTTTTGTTCTCGATGTTCAAATATTGTGCGCTTTGAACGCTTTGGACGGCGCTTTTTTTTTTTTTTTTTTATTTCTTTTGATCGACGTTCAATTTGCCTAAACGCCAAGGATCGCAATCCTATTTACGTCTTCAACACTAGAGCCGCGTCGGTCTTTTTTTGATAGACCTGCAACCTCGACGGCTAGAGATGTAGGAGGATGGCGACAGCACCGAGTAAGTCATGGATTTCTGCGGGACACCAGTTCGCCCTTTACTGACTCTTAATTAGGCCGCGAGGAGCGGAAGCAGATGCGACTGCGCGGCGCAGGGTATGTCTACTCCAGACGCGCGTGTCAACTTGTCCTTGCGAATATAAATGCGATTGCTGATTGCTCTCTACTTGTATCATAGCAATCACAAAGTCAAAGACGTCAATTTTGGCTTCACCTTTGGATCTCCAGCTCCGCCGTCCCCGCCTCCTCCGCCTCAGTCACCCCCAGGCCTTCCCGAGAAACCCCCCATAACACCTCAGTCGCGTCACTCTACAACCTCGAACAAACAGCTTTCTATACCATCCCGGGCATCTAGCAGGCGCTCAGCAGCCCGTAGCTCTGCGCGGAAACTGCACGATGATGTGTCGATATATGATATTCCTCCTGACGATGACGGGCCAGAAGAGAGGAGCTCAAAACGGAGACGGATAAGTAAGGCTCATAGTGGCTCTGTTACCGGTCTGTACACAACCGCTGACGGGATATGTATAGGCAAATCATTTGAAAGCTCAGACATAGAGAGCTCACCCACTGCCCACCGTACCAGTGTACGACAGCCACCGCAACTCGAGCCTGAAGTCACAGGCAAACTAGCAAGCGGGAGGTCCTCGTCAATCAGGCGGACAGCATCTCCTGCTGGATCCTCCTTACGGAATACATCGCCTTTAGAGAACATCAGGCCTTCGGTCGAATCCTCGGTTTCTGTACCACCCTCCCTTAGAGATGGAAATCAGGATAGCGATGCCCGATCACCCAATGTAACTCAGAAGCAGCCAGCCGGGCCAAAACAGAGGCGACGGAAGAGGAAATCAGTTGTTCAACATCCCAAAAAGAAACGCAAGAGCTTACTGCAACCGCCAGAGGTTCCTGAGAGCCACGAAACTGAAGCTAAGGACGGAAGCGAACAACTACAATCTCCGCCCAAGGACTCGACTCCGGATGCAGGATTAGATAGCGGCGATTCACCAGAGCCAAATGATCCCAGTGCACCAGACAATGAGCCTACGGAGTCACCCCGAGTACACTCTCCCCCAATTATAGATGAGCAGGTGGATGCAGCATCAGAGCAAACCGAAGGCAAGGAAGTCAGTGATAATCCAGCACCAGCAGTTGCCAGCCCAGCAGCCGAAGATGATGATGGCGACCCAGTATCAAAAAACCAATTGCCATCGCCCGAAGCCCAAGAAGCTCAAGGTGTCGAGCCAGATACCGCCCAAAGGGAGGGAAGCTCAATTAGAGACCAAGATAACCCAGAGAATCAAGTCACAGCACCAAAGGGTTCCAGGAAACGAAAGAAAAAGGGCCAGGGGACCGGTGCTCCCACACAAAAAGGAAAAGCCAGTCAGAAGAAAGACAAGGGCGAGGGACGGTCAACTGTCCCCGTTCGAGTCCACAGACTCCCTAATACTTCGGCGGTGCAGGAATGGTCCGATGCAGAAGAGTCTGCTCGATCTACTCCAGCGGATATCCGAGAGCCAGCATCTGTAAATCCATCCTTGCGTCCTCTACAGATCCCATCCCGCAGCGGCGTGAATGCTGCCGACGTTCTCAGTCAGATATGCCGTGAAACACTAGAAAAGACGCTATCAACGCTGGATTCTGCTATAGAGCGGGAGTCAAATCGCACTCGGCAGGTAGAATGGACCCGGAAGCGCAAGGTGGTAGAGGCATTTGGTACAGAGCTGGAGGGTAGGCTATTTGAAATGAGCGAACTGCTGGACAGTAATTACGTGCTTGCAATGCGTCTAAGAAAAGAGAAGAAGGAGGTCTTAGCGCTACGAAACCAACTGATGGATATACGAAAGGAGAGAAATGAGATTGCCCTTCAAGCAGACGAGGTCAGGAGGAGGTTTTCTGCAGATGAGAGCGCCAAAGCGGTAAGCTGTTCAATCTACTTGCATGTGAGGAGCGACTCTAATCAGATGTCTACCAGGAACATGGGGCGATCAACAACGCCCTTCACGACCTGCAACTCGCAGTTGATAGAAGCCAGAAGAAGGTCGGTAATGAAGATGTTGGTGGCTCTACCAATCCCTTTGCTGGCCTCGAGTTTCTTCTACGGACTGTTTCTCAAGACGTCTGCTCTTCATCTTCCGACTCCCAGGGCGGCTTATTGAATCAAGTAAAATCATTCAATAGCCAGCTGCAAAGAACAGCCGCGTTATTAGACCGCCGAGGGTCATAACCCTAAGCTATAAGTTAATAACAACCGTCTAAGCAACGTAGTGGCGAATCTTAGCCTCATGGCATTAGCGTCATTTAATAAAGCGTAATAACGCCCGGTGGCTAACTACCTCGTTATCAATCGAACTCATCAAACAGAACCGGATTTGATAATAACCATTCTCTATGCAAGCAACAATACTGCGAACTCCTCGATTCAATCCTAGGTTTACCTAGGTTGGCACCCCAGGTTGACAATGCCATATTAACACGAACCAAGATTCTGCTTGGTAGCGCCTCAGCTTCGCCAACGGTTTTGTTGGTATACCTCTGTTCTTGGAGATAAGGGCCACACTTTAAGTGATTTGCTATTTGATGTTCCTACATATGATCTCGTTGCTCAATTTGCCAGGCCCATTTTCCCATCCTCGCTAGTGGAAGCCGCCGCCCAAAGTTTTCAACCTGTTGTTCAAGGAAGAACGAGCACTCCACAACAACGGCGAAGAGAGTCAGTCACCGCATTTGTGCCATCTACTTCTCATACATCTCTGCAAACCAGAGCTACTCAGGCCGACCTAGCGGGACTGCCCGTTGAGATACACTATATTATTTTTGACTCATTGTCTGCGCGGGAGTTATTTACTCTGGGAATTACCTGTCGTCGTCTCTGGGAAGTAATGATTCCTGTACTCGTACGGCGACTCATGGAGACCTTGGGCACTTGGGCTGAAACACCTGTCATCTGCACCAGTGACTTAGATACGGTTGGCGGAGATAATCCTTATCCCCCAACACTACTGCAGCCTGAAGATCTTGATGAATTAGACGAGGGGCTGGACCCAGAAGAAATGCCTCGCGATATGGAAGATTGTTATGCCTGGTCTCCCGTCAACCTCTTTGAACTAGCTGGCGCCAGATATGATGACCCCCAGGATCTCAATCCTAGCTATATCTTGTGCCTCCTCCCCAACATTCCTGGAAAAGACCCTTTCGAACTATTACGGCATCCAGGCGCCTCTCAAGTACGTACATTTCTGATTCCAAGTATATTTTATCCCACAGACCAGGAATGGGTACTTCGAAACTTGACCACTCGTGAGTTCGTTCGCGCTGCCGCAGTTGCGCTAGATAAAGCTTACATCCATGGTCCATTCATTGACTTAATTGGATTTGGGGAGGTTATTCTCTCCAGGACGATTTGGTACGATAAGCTTCCATCGGATAATGATTCCTGGGCAGGGCATTGTCTAGACATTGTTCCTATTACAGATCTAGATGAGGGGGGCCAATGGAAGGACATTGGTGATCAAGTTGCCGAGGATATAGAGAGAATTGGGAAAGATAAACTCGGGGACAATTGGAGAACTCATATCCAAGAGAAAGCGAGACTTCCAAACGAGCTGGGGTCCCGCAAACGCCCGCGATGGATGCCCTGAAGCCCTACAACATGACGCCGACATGCGGGACAGGTGCAAAATAATGCGATGCATGCTTATGACATCAGGATCTCGTAGATTCAAAGTGCCGCGGCCTCTGCATTATCATTCTGTGTGCTATATCGTGACTGGTATAGGTGATGTGGTCCAACGAGCTTAGACAAACTACTGTATATAGCTACCGGAGAAACGAGCTTTGGGCTTCCTTGTAAGTAACGGTCAGTGGTTAGCTATAGATAACAAGGGCAAACCCTGACAGCTGATTAGTTTTTATCCAGTATTGTCTCTGTCAAAGAGCAAAACTTATCAATACGCACGACCACGACTTTGAAAGCCGTGTTAGTGATTCAGCTGAACTACTGGTTTCATCCCATACACTCGTAACACTTTGGGAGTCGGCATAAAATTGCGTCTCGCTGCATACCATATCAATTTTGGTCTTCGTTTCTGGACATGTAACTAGTTGGGTCAAAGTAAATGCCTTAGCAAGACATTCAGCATGAAGCTACATTGATAAGAGTTGGATCGACATTTAGCAAAAGCCCCAAAATAGCCCGTGTTCCACTGAACGGTGAAGCTGGGGCTCATCACTGCTGCCGAAATCCACTGTTTCTTCTGACTGAAGAGTGGAACGCTGCACCTATAACCATGGAACCTCTGTCGACAGCCTGGCTCTCCAAGTAACATGCACTGGGCATCCCATATAGCGGTGTAAAGATATTCAACTTCTCACCCGCCGTTTGGAGGAGACGACCGCTCAGGAATGCGATGATCAAGAGAAGTTTCCCTGGAGACGGAAGGCCGAGCTGGTTTCCTTGGGTCAACATCGAGAGCGGTGGTAGGGAGGACCGGTTTGAACAGCGCCATCTCCTGCAGAATATGATGATCTGATGCAGCCGAATTTCTTGACTTTCTCAAGCGAGGACAGCTCAGAGCTTGGTTTTGCTTTTCGGATGCAGAGCCGTGGTTAGCATTTCCTTCAGGCCCAGCCTAGACTTCTGTTCCCCTGGATTAGCTTGATGCTTGCGATTCATCAAGTTTGTTCTTAAATTTCTTATCTGACAACTCCATTTTAAACGGTTGAGAGCTCGCCAAATAAAACAAGTCCACCGCTAAATCGAAGCAGCTCTTGATCCTCGTCTGTCTGTCCCTGTGGAGGCGAGTGATATCCGCCACCCAATCCACCACCAAGAAGCCATGGAATGGTGAAACCGATTTATATGTAGGAAATTGTATCCTCAAGCCACAGGCTAAGCTGATGACAGAACTAAATAGATTTAGATTGAAGAGCGACGGGGGAGATGCTTGTCCGAGTCACTTAACCGATGCAAGCTTTCCTTTTTCTCTTTTCTTAACAGACGGGGCTCCAGCGAGTCAGATCGAGAGCCAAATCCTTCGAAGTATTCCACCCCCATCGCATCAATTAAAAATCTATTCCATCCAGCGATGCCAGTGCATGCATGCGAAAGTTTCCATTCGATATAAAAATACGAGGTCACATTGTCCTCATGTGAATGTGTTGCACTGCATCCTTTAAGCTCTGTTCCCTCTGATATTTTTCGGTCAAACAACCGACCCTGGCTTGCCATTTCTCCATCGCTCAAACAGGGGAAAGCGAGCTTATTTAGTAAACATATTTTTGGCCTTTCCGAAAACCAGAGTCGACAGTTAAGCATCATGTCGAGTTTTTTTATCTTAGTCTTTACCCCTTTTCCGCTTCGCTGTACGAAGTGCTCCGTAGTGGACAGCAGTTGATACGGGCGACACCCCGAGAGCTGAAATACTTTTGTGCATGTGGATGTCCGTTCCAGCCTCGATCTTGACTGCCTCGGATGAATTTAGCCCGCCTTCTAGCTAGTTAGTTAATGAATGGTTGGGTCGGGGATCCACGTCCGCTTGCTTGATCCCCCAAAGCCAGATTCCCCAGACAAGCTGGAGATCGGTCTCTGTACGAAGCAAGTATTCCATGAATTACACACAGCAAGCCATGGGAAAATGGGCAGGATCCAGACAGTCCTTCCCACAAAGAAGATACCATGGCGTTGAGGCTGCTGAGGGAAGTTTCACCATCACTGCGCCGAACCCGGGCGGAAACCAGAAGAGATCGATATAGCTCAGACAACGGGCTGAGAGTCGAAAAATTGGGCAGAGGAACGACCCAAGGGAGGAGGCAACCCCCCGGCCGTCCCGCTGCCTCCTTGTCCTCCCATGTATCAAACTTGTGAGTTTGCCGACCAGGGTAGAAACAAGCCCTTGTATGTCACCCCGTACAACTCTGTGCACCTATGGGCTGTGAGCAGACACTTTGTCAAGCTCCAGATCACACCTTGAATGATGATCCGCGAGCGAGAACAGACCCTAAAGAACGGAGAACGGTTACTAGGAAGTGCCGGTATTGTGTATGCACTTCGTACAGAGTACATGTCGACCCTCTCGCTCTCTGCGTGGGAACTTGGGCTCCCAGCAAGGAGGGTCGATGTACTCTGTACGATACAGGGAGGATGCCTCTCTTCATTATTTTAGATCAAACCCCCATGCAAGGAATCTTTTCTTTGGGTGGAGCTGGTGAAGATCGACATGGGCATGTTCGCTAGAGAGTAAAATATCATGCGAGAAAGGCAGTAGTAGTAGTAGTAGTATCTAGCCCGCTCGCTGAAGCTCGCGGTGTGTTTGGGGGTCGGGGAGTACACATCCATACGGACGCCCTGGTTCCCCCCCAAAGAGCCAGCTGTAAATACTGTGCATGTCCCTTTAAATAGTTATTAATTACCGTTGTTTCCCCGCTGTTTGCGTTCATCCTTCCTCTCATCTTGTTTCTTCCTTCCTTCGCAGCTCTGGTCGCTTGTCTTACTACTTGCTTTCTGCTATTTACCCGGCAAAAAGGTATGTTCTGGTCAAGATGGAACCCGCAAATTCAAGTAGAAGACGGAATTAAGGATAATGCATATCCTGGAAGCTGACCATCCATATAGGAATCTTGACTTAGCTGTCTGGTAGAATGAGTTCCGATATCGAGAAGGACACGGCCGGTAGAACCACGACCCATGAGAGCTCCCTCAAGGGCATGTCTGTCGAAGAGCGAGAAGTCGCAGAGGCAGCAGCTCGCTATGGATACGGTCCTCTAGCCAACGGAAACACCAGCGTAGCCGCGTTTGGGAAATTCCAGCCGTCACCAGCGCCAGCCCCAGCAGCAGCAGCACCCAGCAAGTCCTTTGCAAACCCTGGGCCCTTGGGACTGTCTGCTTTCGCCCTCACCACCATGGTGCTTAGTCTGATTAACATGCAAGCTCGCGGCGTCACCGCGCCTCACCTTGTCGTTGCTTCAGCTTTTGGGTACGGTGGATTGGTACAGCTTCTCGCTGGCATGTGGTAAGTTGTGACCGTCTTCCTGTCTACACTCTCTTGCCCTTTTTTTGAGTGCTAACCGTAATATAGGGAAATGGCCGTTGGAAACACCTTTGGAGCCACTGCTCTCTCCTCGTACGGTGGATTCTGGATCTCGTATGGCATTATCTTCACTCCTGGTGGCTTCAACATCATTGAAAACATCAAGGAAGCGAACGGTATAACCGGTGTAAACAACGTAACCGGCTTCTGGCTCATGGTATATTGCCCCCTTGTCACCTACGGTCACGTCAACCCCGTTGCTAATGCGATCTTCGATCTAGTCTTGGTGGATTTTCACCACTCTCTGCCTTGTCTGCACCTTCAAGACCAACATCGCCTTCGTCCTGCTTTTCTTCACTCTCGACCTCGCGTTCTTGTTCCTTGGAGTTGGTCACCTTATCGAATCTGCCCCTGGGAAGATCTATATACCTCTCATCAAGACCGGCGGCTTCTTTGGTATCCTGGCTGCTCTACTCGCCTGGTACTGTGCCCTCTCTGGAATGGCAGACCCAAACAACAGCTTCATCAAGTTCCCGCTTGGACGTCTGCCATGGATGGGCAACCAGCGAGTCAAGACTGAGCGCGAGGTGGTTTAATCTTCTGGCCTTTTGACATGAAATCTGGATAAATTGCCGTATTCTTTCTCTAAATAATAATTAATCGCGACGATGATGGTGTGCCTCTTTTTTTTTCAACCTCTCTGGATAAATTGACGTTGTTGCATTGAGTAGCATTGGTTGACGTTAAATTAAACAATTAACACTTTGTGTTGAGGTTCAACCTTTGCTAAACCGCTACAAGCCTAACTAACTACTTGGCGGGCCTAAAATATTGACATCACAAGACACGAGAAATCTGACCACTAACCAGTACGTCTCTTGATTTATCCATGTTTTACTGGAGAAGAATCTCTGTTTAGTCGTATCTTAAAGGGAAGAGACCATATGGATAGTGGTTAGGCAAAAAATGATGCTGGAAATTAACAATGCTATTCTGATATTGAGAGCTCATGGACGCAAGTAAACATCTATAGAACTGCAGACGATAACGTGAAAGCTGTCAAGTAGAATAGAAGGAAGAGATGATATCAATCAATGGTCATAGGGAAAGTAGAGAAAAAAACAACATCTGAGGTTGTTTGCCGGTCTCCAGGACATGACTTTGTTTTCCGTCCTCAGGTTTTTTTTAAAACTGTAGCTCCCATGTAGATGCACGCTCGGGGGGGATCCCAAAATAAATAAAGAAGAAAAAAACAAAAAGCCAGAGCATGGGGTTTGCGTGAAGATAATAAAATGGAAGAGTAGAAGGTAAAAACAAAAGGCTGAGAAAAGGGGAAATGTTACACATGATCGGAATCTCTGCTATGCCATTTGACCTGGCCGAGGGAACACAGGGATGGTTTCTAGCTTCTCTAGTCCGCCCATTGTTCCTTGCGGAACGTTCTGCCATCCTTGACCCGTGGCTTGGTTTATAAAAGCACTTTGGCGGAAAGGGTTTGTGCTGCCAGTTGGGTTTGGCTGTAGACGTTGGGCCGGCAGTGCTTCCTGGCTTTGTTGTGGCTGAGGCCGCGCAAACGGGTTTGTTCCTATTCGCTGAGGCTGAAGGGGCTGAGGCTGTTGTTGTGAAGGGGGTGGAGATGATGATGGCATGGGATATTGGTTGGGGTTGGGAATTTGGTACTGTGGAGGGATGGCAGGAGGTTGTTTGGCAAACGGGTTGGTAGATTGTCGCTTCATAGCCAATGTTGAAGGAGACTGTAACTGGGGGGATGATAAATTGTCTGCGGTGGGAAGCATAGACTGTCGGAAAGGGTTGTTGGCTCGTGGTGTGGCACCCGCTGTCATGGGTCGCTGGAAGGGAACAGCCCCGTTCTGTGGAATAGCAGAAAGTGGACTTGGACTCTGGAAAGGCTGTGGGGTGTAACCTCCGAATCCGGCGCCTGTGTGAGAAGCTTGTAGTGGCTGGGCCGCTGGAGGTTGTTGCTGTTGCTGTTGTTGCATTTGTGTATCGTACTGGCCGAACGGGTTGATGTTTTGTCCCATTGGATTGGGGGCAAATCCCGTTTGATTCTGTAGGAACTCGGCTGGTACCGGCTGCTGCTGGAAACCTGTTTGTTGGAATTGCATTGGCATATTCTGCTGCTGTGGTTGTTGTGGTGGTAGCTGTTGATTCGCTGGTGGTTGATTTTCTTCAATGGACCCAAAGAAGTCGATTAGATCCGCAGCTGGAGCTTTAGTACCAGAACTTGGTACGTCTTTAGAAGACGTGCTATTGTTCGCCTTGGACGAGGGTTGTGCTTTTGCAGCTTTTGACGCTGAGCTACTTTCACCTTTGGATTTTCCAAACTTCTGTTCACGGTATTCCTTCCGGCGGATTGCAAAATCGGGGTCATGCAGGTCATCTTCTAGCAACTTCGCCAAATCCGTAGATGCATGCTTTAAATTGGGTATCTCAAGTCGAGTAGCATGTTCGTACTGTCTGGCAACTCGTAAAAATGCAACAACGTCGTCCGTTAGGGCGCTAAAAACTTTGTACAAATGCAATGCTCGTTCGCTGTCTGTCCGAGACATCTCGAAGTAGTGCTCTAGCCAAGATATATTAGAAGTTGTGTGTATACATGCCAAAAGGGGCAGAGAGCCACCAACCCAGGACATTGATGACACCCTCATTCATAACAGAGTAAAGCGTCAACAGATCAAGCGTCACCAGCCGGAAGCCAGTTAAAGTGATTTCATTATCGGGTTCATCACTCAGGAGCTAGTCAAAGAAGTAAATTAGCAAAGGCTGTTCCTGATAAACAAACAAACGCAAGATGGTATATGCGCACATCACATTTCAAAAGAGCCTTAATTTGCTTCTGAACAATCTCTGTTTCTCGCAATAGACCCTTTGAGACAGTTAATGATTTCAGTCTGCCTTGTCCATTGCGAACATAATCCGTCTTTGTCTCTGAGAAGGCCAGAGACCGTGCGATTAGATACTCCGAGTATCTCCATATGTTCGCTCCCTGGAACTGTGCTATTATAGCCATACGAGATCAGCAAAAGAAAAAACAAGCCCTCTTGTCCATTTACGCGGCCATTATCTATATTCTTCGACAAGGGAATATTGTACACACCGTCCGAGATGCTTGTTATCGCGAACTTTCGAGGATATTGCGAGAGATAGGCGAGCGCAGCCCCCGGGGCACCCTCGCGTACCATCATATGTATCACTATAAGCGCTTTGAAAACGACTGTCCACGCCGACTCGCGGAGTCTGATCTGGAGTGTGCGAAAGATCTCGGCCGTGCCTGCATCGCTGTAGGTGGCTGTGAGGATGTGTTCGATGTATTTTGATTTCGGGGCAGCATTCTATTTTCCCACAAAAAACCGTTAGAACCAGACTCTTCTACCGAGAAACAGACAAGATATTCCATACCTTCGACTTGGTCGCGCCCTTGACGGACTTCTCAAAGCTTGAACCAACCATTGTCGGGGGCTGTGTAGGGATGTTGTTCTCAGCTGGTTTGCGGTGCGAAGTAGGTCATGATACTGCGTGCTCAACTATGGTAGAGCAATGACCGACGAGAGCAGGCGAATTGTCTGCCCGTTAAACGAGGGTAGGAAGAAGGTAAGCAAGGAGAGATGCGGTTCTGTCTGTCTGTCTGTCTGTCTGTCTGCTGGCTGTTGGGTGTCTCGTCTTTCTCCCCCTTTAGCTAACTTAAGCCTCCGTGTGGGTCGTTAGGTATAAAAACACAGCTTAAAAGCGGATGCGAGATCGGAGTTTATCGACGCTCGGTTCGGCAGATGGGGAAAGGGGAGAAGAAGCCCCCAGGAGACTTGCTCGTCGCAGTAGAACTTGTGATATTTACCTATGCAGCGAAGGAAGACGCTTGAAACTCCTCTGAGGCGGGCGCAGCATTTGCCTTCGTCGGTTTGGCGGTTGCAAAGGCCGATTTTCCTGGGGGCGGGGATGACTAAGCCAATTGCCTCTGTCCAAAAGGCTTTTACGACGTCAGAGATAAAGGGACAGTTAAGCTGTAGGGATTGCAGATGTTTTTTTTCTTTGTGGGTAGCAGAAGATGTCTTTGATATTTTTATCCCGGCAGTATAGTTGACTGAAAGGAAAATTGATGAGTATTATACAGTTTCATAGACCAGCACAGCAGTTATGACCCTCACACGAACTCCAGCCGTCCATTAGGAACCCCAGCTTAGCTATGATGAAAGAAGAAGACAAGCAGCAAACAATTAAGAGCAACCCTGGTAATAATATACCAAACACCAACTTTTCCAAAAAAGGGGAAAAAGGTAAAAAGTGGAAAAAAACAAAAAGACGCTTGTAGTCTACTAGCTGAGAAGATAGTAGCAACTTGAAGGCTGAGTGAGGTCTTTGCCATCCATCCACGCCCTCTGCTGGAACGCCGGAGTCAAGGCCGTAGCACTAGCTGTGAACGTATGAGTATCTCTGTCCATATCGATGTCTTCGCATTCAACCGTATCGGTCCCATTACCAGGGCCAGCACCAGAGGTAGATGAGGATAATGAGGCGTTACCGACCGAGGTGGAAGACGAGCTGGGTACTTGCGACGACATGATATGAGTAGACGTTGAGATCGAGGGGTTTGTATCCGTGTTGTTACTTGTTGCGGTGCTGTTACCGTTGGCTTCTGCCAGGGACACGCGAGCAGGTGCAGACGCAGGACGGAAGAAATGATGCAGCGTCTTTTGCGACGGGTCAGGCTTTGGTAGAGAAGTCGTAGAGTCTTCTTGGAAGGATGAGTCCTCTTCAAGACTTTCGAGGCTGTCATCGATACTAGTGATGGGTTCTGGGTAGAGTCCGTGGTTCTCTGCTTGTCTCTGGGCGGAGAAGAGCCATCGTAAGGTGTTGTCTGAGAGGTTAAAGAGTTAACGGAGATGACGGGTGAGCAAGGTGATGATGGTGTAGTGACGACATGGCATACCGTAGACAGCCTGTTCGTCTGGACGGTCGTTTCTGAATCGCTTCCTCGTCCGGCTGTGAAGGTGCTGAGGTGTGTCGTCTATGACCATGGCATCACCGATTGAGCATGGGATGGGAGAGACGGTGCGGTCGTAGAAGGATGTTGAGGACCGCGGAGAGAGGATCGTTGAGAGGGAGGCTTTGCGCTTCATTGTCGAATGTTGTTCACTATATTATTGCGTCTCCCGGCAGTGCGCAGTATGAGGCCAGATGAGACGAAAATGCCAGAATAGCTATAAAGAAGTGAAGTGTTGAGATGAGGTGAAGGTTGGAAACTTGGTTGCGCCTGGGGGGGAAGAACGAGGTTTGGTTTTGGTCGCGTTTCGCATTGCAGTGAGAAGAGGCGTATTTTACAGCCTCAGGGATGCCAAGACCAAAATCAACAATGTTTATTGGTTGGTTGATTATTACGTGTATCAGGGTGATACCGCTAGTCTGGAGTGGGTTTAATGGCTTTTTACGCGGTCTCGCGCGAGTGTCAAGACAGGGTAAATGATTCACACATAGTAATACGAGCGTCACAGAGAGGATCATATCTGTGGCATCGCCATTCAGAAGTAAATTCATAATGGGCCCGTGTTCTCGATGCTATCTTTCAATCTACCGCTATCGGTATCATTTTCTGTTTGAATTGGGCGGCTTTTGTTCGACCATTTTTCTGATTAGATAATAGAGTTTCGGGATGCCGATTAGTTAGTTGATGCCAAGCCGGGATGCCGAAAGAGTAAAGAGCCCCTCCCCCGCAACTAACCAAAAACAGAGTTTCACCTTGCTTGGACGTCTCTTGCTCAATTTCTGAAGATCGTCAACGCGAAGAGAACAGAGACACAAGAGACGGAATACAGAGTAGCTGTACAAGACACGATGTCTATCCGCCGCCATACTCACGCCGGTTCCTGGTACTCCGACCACGGGCCAACCCTGGAAGCACAGCTCGATCAGTGGTTGGACCTTGTGCCTGGCGAACTCGAGGGGCTGGGCAAGCTACCAGTACCGGGAGCAAGAGTGATCATAGCTCCGTGAGTACATTGACAACCAACAACAAGAGATACAAAGGCTTGAGATGCATAGGACCAACCAGTTGACTGTCTTGTAGACATGCAGGATATGCCTACTCCGGCCCTTGCGCGGCCTTTGCGTACAAATGCCTCGACCTATCCAAGGCGTAAGCTTCACTGAGATAAGATGAAATAAATATATGAGAGAGAGAGAAGGGACTAATAGCTGGAGCCAGAAAGCGGATCTTCCTGATCGGCCCATCCCACCACCTCCATCTCACAACCATCGCGGTACCACAGTTGACCGAATACCTGACACCGCTTTCGCCTATGCCGCTGCCTCTCGACACCGAGGTGCTTGCTAAAATCGAGCGGGAGGCTTCCTCAGCGGATAGGCCCTTTTCTAGAATGTCTCGATCTGTCGACGAACAGGAACACAGCATGGAGCTCCATCTACCGTACATCCACCGCCTTCTGCAGCGCTTATATCCCGCAATGCCGACGTCAGCCTACCCCCCGCTAGTGCCGATGATGGTGGGCAGCACCTCTGCGGCAAACGAGCGAGTGTTTGGCTCGATCCTTCGGCCTTACCTTGCTAACGAAGAGAACGCGTTTGTGATTTCGTCTGACTTTTGTCACTGGGGCACGAGGTTCGCATATACGTACTACGTGCAGGCACCAGACCCAACAACCTACAAGCTGCCACTTACGTACCCTTCTCTACCGGTTCCGTCGGACATGCTAACCGCAGAAAAGGCGGCGGAGGAAGTGCGTGCAGCGTCGTCAGGGCGGATGCTGAGAGAGAACGACAAGTCATACAACAAGGAGAAATATATGTGGGCTATCCACGAGAGCGTCTCTGCGTGTGACATGGCATGCATGTCTGCAATAGCCAGTGGCAATACGGACGTCTTTCAGGAAGCATTACGGCGGACGGGAAACACTGTATGCGGGCGCCATCCGATTGGCGTGGTGATGGCGGGGATCGAGGGATTACAGCATCAGGCAGAAACAACCATGGGAGCAGCGGTGACGCAGGACGGGGTGAAGAAGGGCAAGTTCTACTTTATAAGGTACGAACGGAGCTCTGACTGCTTCTCGGTCCAAGACAGCTCAGTGAGCTATGTTTCTGCGTTTGCCGTGCTGTAGCTAGCAGTTTGAAGTTTGATAGACCTTATTAGTATAACTGGTTATCCACAAATTCAAGTTTTTTCCTCTGCCACGATCGATCTACGAGAACTATAAAACCAGTTACTTTGCAAGGGAGAGACCGCTGATCTGATCGATCGCTTTCCAGTTAAACCCTGCCCAACATCTTCTATCCGCGTAGCTAGCGTTCGAGAGAGAGAGAGAGAGAGATGCTGATCCTGAACAAGTCGGTGACGCGCGTGGAGAGAGAGCCCACAAAGCTCGCCCTGCTCAGGGAGCTAGTTGAGTCTCCGCAAGGCCGGTTTTCTAGGTTCGCTGCGAGTCGGCCAGCATCCTCCTCCTATAAGAGAATTAGGCAGCAACAATAGCAGTGGGTTAAGGTGGGCTATTAAGGTGGGCATATGTCGTTATAACACAGCAGGAGGCGGGAACTCCATACGGAGCAGGCTTGTCGTCGTCGCAGGCGTCGTCGCAGGCGTCGCAGGCAGGCAGGAGGAAGAGTGAAGAGTCACACCTAAGTAAAACACGCGTCTAGAGGGAGGCCCGGCTTTTTTTGCCTTTCTTTCCCATGCTTTCCCATGCTTTGCTTTGCTTGCTTGCCTGCTTACTTGTCGCTTTGCCAGCGCCTTCGCTTCTTCTTTTAACACGAACGACGCAAGTGCTGAGTCAGCAAGCGTCTGCAATGGCCCGAGAAGGCTAGGCGGCGCCAAGACATGGGTCATTGTTCACGCCGCGTAAGCTTCATCCGAGGTCTTGGCGATCGTCGCTGTTGGGTTGACGATCTAGACAGAGGCCGCAGAAGCGACGACGACGACGGCGGCGACGGCGAGGATGACGAACGACGAGGACGAAGACGGGGATGAAGACAAGACGATGACGAGGGTAGAAGGAAGAGGAAGACAGAAGAGGGTAGAAGATACGGGGCACTCCGTATATAAAAGGGCGAAGACCAGGACCGACTGCAGGGACAGGAAGAGAAGAGGTACTTTTTCCCCCTTCTAATCTTACATAAGCAAAAGAGGCTGACGACGCTGACGTCCCAAAGCGGACTAGCGTACCCAGGGGCCTCGTCACCGTCTGCGTATTGGCCGTACCGCGTGTACCGTCAGGTACCCACCATAAACAGCATTACGAGGCCTGTAACTTGGTAATCCGCATACGCCCATTGCTCTTTTGCCTGCCTGGGCGAGGGTTGGTTTCTGCCACCTCACGCCGCTTTTTCCCTCCGCGACGCTCGCCTTTTTTCGACTTCAACTTCAACTTCAACTTCACCAACTTCAACTTCAACATCGCCTGCATCTCTTTCTCTCTCTCGTTATTACAACCTGCCAGCTGGCATCCAGGACTCGATAGGATCGATAGAACGAGCTGCAGCGTTAAGCAGACGGGCTGTTCGCCGACGAGGACTGGTCGACAATTAGGGTTAGCGTGGAACCGCAATCAAGGGCCAAGGGCTGTGCTTGCTGCGCATCATCTAAACATATCTTTTTCGTCTCCTTCTTCCTGGACGGGACGGCACAGCGACTCAAAACGACCATCTCCCATCGATCTCACTCTCTCTCTCTCCCTCTCTCTCTCTCAACCTCCCGCCAGCATCAATCACCACATTCGTTTCGACGACGACGACACCGACTGCAGCGTCAGAAAAGAACACAGACTGAAAACCTTCGCCCGACTGAAGACGGTCCGGCTGGCCTGCGGTGGGCGCTGACAGTCATCCCGGTTGACTGCCAGCCCTCATTTTCCATCTCATCTCCAGCCTACTACGGGTGAACAGCCAAAGGCCATCGCCAAAAAATGACAGACAGATCTCGACGACCGGCAGGCTCATCAGGCCCTGCCGTTGACGCCTCCGAGCTCGCTCGCCAGTTCGAACAGTTGCTGCGGACAAGAAGGTTGAACACTCTCCAGGAACGATCCAGATCACGCACCTCTTCGCCCATGCCTTCGTCGTCAACGCCAACATCAACGCCAGCATCACCGCATCATCCTCACCATCACAGCCAGCACGCCCACGGCCGGCCATTGCCCTCGCAGCCGCCGTCGTACTCGTCTATTCGCAGTTTTCCTATCTTTCCGACGCCGCCACAGGATTCCGCCTCCCTCAAGTTTCGCAACCTCCTCCACGTTCTTTCCGTAACACCTATGAAATATGAGAACCCAGGCCTGCTGGACGAGGCGCTCTCCCACGTTCCTCTCGACCGTCTCTACGCAGAGGCAGAGGAAGAGTGTCAGATTCTGCAGGCAGAGGCGGCAAGCATGGGTGAGAACGTGAAACCAACCTGGGGCTACCAGGACTGCGTCATCAAGGCTCTCCTCAGGTACGGACCCTTTTTGTTTTCCCCTCTCCCTCACTCTCTCTTTCTCTTTCTGTGGTTGATATGATACTAACTAGCCGTGGTAGATGGTTCAAACGCTCGTTCTTCCAGTTCATCAATAATCCCCCTTGCTCGAGATGCCTCAGACCAACCCTTCTTCAGGGCATGACACCCCCAACTCCAGACGAAACCGCCCGGGGAGCCACCAGAGTCGAACTCTACATCTGCTCAGAGCCCTCCTGCGCCAGCCCTGAGCGATTCCCTCGATACTCTGACGTATGGACTCTGCTGCAGTCCAGACGCGGCAGAGTAGGCGAGTGGGCCAATTGCTTTAGCATGCTGTGCAGAGCCGTCGGTGGCCGCGTACGTTGGGTCTGGAACTCGGAAGACCATGTATGGACCGAAGTTTACTCGGAGCATCAGAAAAGATGGATTCACGTCGACGCCTGCGAAGAGGCTTGGGACAATCCCCGCCTCTACACAGAAGGTAAGCATCCATTCCCCCCCCCCTCCCTCTCACCCCTTCTCATTCTATTTCGCTTTCGCTTTCGCTTTCTTTTTTTCCGTCCGTGCGACTAACATGCTTCCAGGCTGGAACCGAAGAATGGCCTATTGTATCGCTTTCTCCATCGATGGAGCCACGGATGTTACCCGTCGCTACGTTCGAAACCCTGCCAAACATGGCCTCGACCGTTCTCGTGCTCCCGACGAGGTATTACTCTGGGTCATCCACGAGATCAGACGCATGCGTCGTGAGAACCTTTCCAAGGAAGAACGAAGGCGGTTGGTAAAAGAGGACGAACGTGAAGAGCGTGAGCTTCGTGGATATGTCGCCCAGAGCATCGCAACTGAACTCAGCCGATTGAATCCCAACGGTGTCTCGGCGCCGGCTCCCGGTGACGAAGTCAAGGTTCCTGTCTCTGCAGCTGCAACGACAACTGGACAGAGTGGAGTTGAACGGACGGGTCAGCCAAATCCAGACCCGTCTAGGAGGCATCGATGACAGCTCTGCATTCCTCTATCCATACTCCCTTTTCACGCCGTCATGATCGAACGAACCCTGACGTCAAAGTTGTACGACGTCAATCCACCTCTACGAACCCTCTTTCTTTCTTCCTTGACTTAATTAACGGCCGACTCTTCTTCTACCCAAACCCTCTTGACCGACTCATTTTCCATCTTGATACCAATACTACCTCTTCCTTTCCTTTCCCACCTGTCTCTCTCTCTCTCGATCCGTTTCTCTTCTGGCTCTTCCATTTCCTTGTCGGCATCACGATATATACCAAGGCGTTCAGGTGCTCCGGTAGACATCCTTTCTGGGCCTTTTTTTTTTCTCTTCCTATACTTCTCTCCAGACCTCTTCATACTCCGATCTTCTTCTGCATGACGTGAATCTCCTGGCATCCGTCCCATTCCTACTCTGCGCGTATTAAGCCTGTTTGCTTGCTACCTTGGATTATCCTCCTTTGGACATGTTGGTTCTCGTTACATGCGAAAAATGGGAAAGGAAACATATTAATCAAGGACAACTGACTCCTTGCATATTTATTTACCTAAACTCCCAACTAATCAAGTCAGCGAACCAACCTCTATACAGCCTCGTCTACCGAGCACAACTCTACGTCTCCTTTGTTGATCAACTAAATCTTCCCCCTTTAATCTATACCCGCCATTGCACCTATTGGATTAATATACTCCCTCCCCTTATATACCCGCCCCGCCTATTTTATCCTCTTATATACATACACATATAATCCACTGCACAAACAATCCTTACTCTAATAGAAAAGTGCTTTGTCTGCGTACTCACAGTCCATCCTTTTGATTTGACTTTCTCTTCCCCAGCTTTCAAGCTTCTTAATACGCCCATCGCCAGCATACCAATTCCGTCGCTTCTTCTTCTTCTTTTTTATCTATTACACTTTTTACCTGTCATGCCTTACCTCGTCATGTCAATTACTCTATTCCGCCCTTCTTTCTGGGACGAGTCTGCTTTATGAGTTTATTTAGCTCTGTTTTTTAGCCGCGCTATTCTACGTTGTTTTAATAGCTAGCTCAAATACATGAAAATGCTTCATCTTCATAACTTTCCTTCTTACTCTATCATCTACACTCATACCTTCTCAGAAACTATACCAAGCCCCGTCAATCCATTTGGAGGCTCCTATACAAGAATGTCAGATAACACTACATATCATGACAAGGGAACACTTGCAGCAAAGACTACTTACGTGGGTGATATATATGCCAGTTATAGTCGAGCCCGGCTCAATGTCAAGTTTCTTCTTCTTTTGCTGGCCATGTCCCAAAGGCAGTCTGATCTTCGGAAGCACATTGGCATCAAATGTAAAAGACCTTCCACGGTTCGTAGTAGCCTAAAACATAAACCAAACGACCCGGATTAGATATCTGAGGCATTGCAAACAGAGGCGAATGAATACCTTACCTCCAGCGTCGCAATACTGAAACTGATCGGCTCATTCTTTGGAGTCCGCCACTGCTTATCTTTCACTCTGAACCCGGTGACTCTCTCACCACCCGGCCCGTCAATGTTAAACTGTATCTTCGACTGGTTGCCATGCTTTTCTCTACCCTGGTATACAGGCAGACAGCTGATAGGTGCTCCGTCGCATTCGTAATGGAAATCAATCCAGGTCAATATACCCCCTAACGTACTAACTGATATCTTAGTAAGGTAGGGCAGATAACTCCCTTTCTCACCACCGAACATAAGCAGTATATGAGGCTGTTGATAACTCAGTAGGGAAGGCTGAGGCTCATCCTGATATACAAAATCTAGTTCATGCAGAGATTGGTGTTCGCACGGTATATGCGGGTACCAGAGCGTTGCTTTGCGTGGAGACAAGCAAGGCGGGTTCTGGCTATGGATTTGCTCTTCTTCCGGGACAGAGAGGGATATCAGTCTGAATGCCTGTGATGGGAAGAGTTAAGTTAGTTTCCATATATTACAGTTTTAATGGAAGATACAACTTACGTCAAATTTCGCTTTGATGTGTGTTACCCGTTCATTGAGACATAAGCGTAAAGTGCTGGGCACGTCATGGTGATCGCCTGCCCAGTTTGATAATGCGCCATCTGCCGTGGCTGTTCTGATTCCTCGAATACCGCCGGGATCAGCACAGATGGCAAACCCCGTGAGAGGATGAGAGTTCGACTCTGCGCCTTTCTGACTAATGTTGAGAATGACTTCGTTGTCAGGACGGATGTAGCCCAGCCGAACTTCCTTTTCGTCCGGTGTGCTGATGCGTATGCCGGAAACATATGTATTCCCTCCGAAACAAACAAGGGACACGCCAACATGCGATACCTGCATAGGGACACGAATTGCATGTTCCTTGACAATGCTGGGAGGAGGGAGTGGAGCAGAGCCAGGAAATCGCCCCCTACTAGGCTGCGTTCGGGGAGGTTCTAGTGGTTTGGCTGCTGCTGTCCGCCAGAGGACATGGTTATGTTCTTCCATGGAATATGCACCGCCATCTTCCAGCGGAGGCTGTGAAATAAGCAATGCTGCAAGGGACTTGTTGCATTCCCATATTCTCCTTCGGTTCCGTATAGCTTCGAAATGCTTTAAGTTCGGGTTTGTTTTCTCATACAGGGCCTTCCAGTTGTAATGAATAGTCGCGCCGGATGTTGCTTTGTCCAACTGAGGACGTAGAGCTTCAAAGATGAACCCCCTTTCAAAAGATGGTAGGAATCGAGACCGCCAGAAATGCTGGGATAGTGGCATGCTACCAAATGACCTTGAAGCTATCCGTAAATTGAATACATCACGCAGGCTGAGCATACATTGGATATCTTCCCTTATTTCAAAAGGCAGCGAGTAAAACTTGTCACAGTCAGCCCTCTCGGCGATAATACTGCGTTCAGCTGTGTTTTCGTTGGATCTCTCTTTCTCTGCTTCGTCAAGTGCCTCCTGTAACTCCGGGATATCAAAGGGATCCCGAAGAAAGAAAGATTGCTGGTACGTTGATCGGTAGTGTGTTACTATTTCTGCATCAGAGACACTGCTCTCATACCCGTGGCCCCAGGTAAGAAGACCGAACTCCTGTGAAGGAAATGATAGACAGAGGTCATATAGCCGGGGTATAGAGATCTCTTGGGGATGAACGAGCGCCTTCAGGATCCCCCAGCAGGCATCGTGGAATACGAAGCCAGGTAATGGGTGATCTTCAGAGGTTCTCCCCTGCGACGGAAATTCGTCCGACTTGGTCTCATTGGTGTACCTGTCGTTTTCATATCGTTCGTAGGGGTTTGATGGCGCACGTAGCAGTCTTTCGCCATGTACAAACCTCGCCACGCCTGTCAGGAATGGCTCTTCATTCAATGAAGCAGCTCGAACTAATCGAATGGTGTGAGCAGGATTCGTCCCATTACTATCGATATAATGATGAAAACAAACATTCTTACCGGCTCTGTATTGACCGGGCCATTCATTGCGGCGGGTGCGGTTATGGATTAATACGCCGCAGATGATACAGTACGGCGCTCCAGAAGAAGACATTGCCACAATTCGATGGATAACTAGTCGAAGATAGGATCAAATGACGAAAATGATAAACAATGGGATGTGACAAGATGAAATCTAGAGGATAGAGGGGAAGATTGTTTATATGGGATGTTGATGCTTCTGTCCGCTGCGCCGTAGTTAATGCTGCCGCCTGACGTAGACGGCGTAGTCATCCAGGCAGAAGCAATACTTGCATCATAGCCCAATAACTAACAACCATGCTGCACTGCGTCTGAAACAGATTCATGCAAGCGGTGCATGAGCGAGGTTCTAATGCGCCTCCTGCAGCGGTTGTGCCTCATCTTGGCGCTAAGTGTGTTTGTTGTTGATGATCTGATAGTAAGAAAGGCGAGGTGTTTGCCGATGAATTGTTCAAGTTTTTATTTATTCAGTTAACTACACAATATCTATTTATTTATTCGTAGTCTCGTATATATCTGCCCGGCAGGTCAACGTCCCATATCGGCCTCTCTATCACCACGACTTCCAGAGGCACCGATTTCGCGTCTTCTGCTTCTGATAGATCTGCACTCTCCACCGTGGACTGAGAATTGTGGCTCAAAGGCACAATCCCTAGGATGTCTCGATATTTGAAGATAGACCACCACTGGCGAGGACGTGATTCTGCATTGTGGTCTGATTCTGGCTCTGGCGTGGATAGCTTCGCTACCTGATTCCCATGCTCTGATCCATTTGGTAGATGGTTCCCTAAAACAGGCTCGTTATCAGCATAGGAAGGACGATATTCTGGCCCGGAAAGGACATTCTTACCATTCATAGCCTGTCCGTTAGCTCCAGGGAACTGCTGTCTGCGCAGTGAAGCGAGTGTCGCTTCATTGGCGAGAGCAAGCTCGTCGATGTCACCATCATCCTCGTCCTCGTCGTCAGGCAGCGAGTTGTCATTCTTTTGGCTCTCAATGGGCACCAATTCGGCATTCGTCCCATTTGCTCCCACGCCTTTCTTAATCGCCGGTCCAAAGCCGACTTCAGTATCTGCAAGCGCCACTCTGTCTCCTGCACCAGTATTCGTCTTCTTTTTCTTCCTCTCCCCTTCGGTGCTATGTTCTTCATGGTCTTGACGTTTTCTCTTGTGTGGAGATGGATGCCCCGAGGTACTGGCATGCTGTGGCCCTGGATAGTCTTGCAATAAATCAAACATCCAGAGCCAGGCTGGACCATACAGCCAGAGGCGATCTCGACCTCCTGCAACGTCCCAAATGGCACCCATAGCTCTATCTTTAATAATGGTAAATTCTGAGGGCATACACGCCTTCGGGTTTCTCCTTGCCCATTCGGAGAGGTTTCCTTTAAGCGCGTTAAATTCAGTTAAATGATGCTCGGAAGTTAATATCATTAACCTGTCGTCCAACGCACTGAGTTCGGATTCATGGGGGACTGGCACGGTAGATGTCCGTTTACTCTTCGATGTGTTAGATGCTTCGAGTGTAGGGCGGAATGTCATCAGTAGAACGCTGGAGTTCAGGCGAGGAAGGATAGCCTCAGAAGGCGTGTGTTTCCACCACACTCCAGATGGTAAGCTTTCCTCGTCGTCTGAATCCGAATCCTCGTCTGAAGAATCCGAATTTGCATCCCCGGTTTCTTTGATTGTGGCAGGGTCGTCATTCCTGCGATCAAGGGACCAAACGTCCACATACCCAGCGAGGTCACCACAGGCGAAGATCCGGCTGTCACCTGAGAATGTGATACAACGTACGGTTCTCTCATAAGAACCTAGAGTGCCGTGAAGAGGCTTATCGACGCGTGTTTGCCTTGGTAGGCGGGTCAACTTTTGTGAACTGGGCAGAACTTCAAGGGTCGAATTCGTTTTGAATTCTCTGGTAAGCTTAGCCATGTATATATCGTTGTTTGGACGCAGTACACATAGCCACTTGCAATCAGGCGATATGGCGACGTTCTTTGCACCGTTAGAGGCTAATCGAGCAGGAAGCTCTATCTTGTGCACCCGTAGACTAGGGAAACCATCCACTTCATCCGGTGTTAAAGTAAATAACCTAACTTCCGATATAGTGGCAGCAGCGAGTATAGTTCCATCCCGTGATAGAGCCGCGCATGTGAGATGCTCGTCACCTTGGAATAAGATCTTTCCTACAAGCTTGTGCTGTTCCATATCAGACCCAAATGAGCCAGCAACACGCCAAATGTTGACCTCACGATCCCACCAACTCATTAGGAGTCGAGATGCGCCAGATGATGAGACTTGAGGTATCTGTGGTAGGTTTGGTAGTTTTCGGTGGTGCTCCTTTCCAAGCTCCCTCAGCGGAAGAACGACAGGCGTCGTGTCAAGGCCTGTAGATAGCATGTCAGAACTAGATCTACATTACTCAATGATTAGGATGTACATACCTCCCGAGACAACAATGCTAATATCCTTAGTCTCAAAAGCTGCGAGGGCCTTGACGTCATGTGTATGATACCGTCGGTGCATCACTTCTGCCCATCTTCTTGTCGTCATTTGCTTTTCACGGCGCTTCAGTTTATAGAGGACCGTCCGCTGGTCTGCACCACCACTAACAATGGATTCTCCGTCTGCACTGACAGCGATATCCAATATATCCGCCTGGTGTCCTTGCAATCTTTGAACTAGAGAGTAGTTCTTCGCGTCGTAAACCCGAACTTCACCGGCCGAGTCGCCAGATATTATGGAGCCATCAGGTAGGCACTTAACAGTCCAGACAAGTAATTCCTTTGTGTGTTTTGCCTGGCCCTTGCCGAGAGAGATCGTCCGTAGCAAGCTGCCATTGCGTATATCGAATACTCGAATTGTGCTGTCGGCATACCCAGCAACAACGGTATGGCGATTCTGAAACGTGATGCTGAGAACTCTCGTACGCTTCGTTGACGACCTTATAGTTTTCAGGTATTTCAGATCCCCATCTTCTGTAGATAGGATCACGATAGTGCCATCTGCACATCCAACCGCCAAATGTTGTCCCAGATATCCCTCTTCTCTAGCAGGAGCAGCATCCCCATCCTTCTTGCGCCGTGGCCTCCATTGAGGCTGCACTGCTAGACACCAGATTTCTCCATAATTTCCGCTTGAATGTCTAGCTGGGCGGCCTGATTCCAAATCCCACTCCGTCACGACGCTGGAATATCCAATGCTGAAGAGTCGCAGTTTTCCCGCCACCTCCTTGCCTTCGATAGTTTCGCTTGGGTCAAGTGTCCATGCTAATCCTTCGATGCTGCGGTCCTTTCCTCCACGAAGAATAGATTCTTGAAACCAGGCACCACGTAGAGGGTTCCAAATCTCGATATCACCATTCGCTCGTCCGATCGCAAGCCTTAATGTGGGAAAACCTCTGCCTTGGATCTCATTTGAGGGAGGGTGCGAAAAGGCCAGCGCGTTGATCGCTTGCGGATTGTATGGCACGAATCGACATCTATGGATATCCATGGTGTCTGAAGCTGTTTCCTGTGTCGAAAATCCGTGAGCTCTGCGGGCAATGGTGGAGAGCGCAGCGCAAGAGGAGCTGGAATTAAAAACACAGCTCTTCAGGCTCTTCTATCGCAGCCATCCATCGCAGCTCTGCTTCATAGAATGTCCCTTCGACTTCTTTTCATGAAAGCTTTGCTGCGTCAAACAAAAAAAAAAAAAAAATTATCTTTGGCGCTTCTTTCCCCGAAGGCAATTTTTCTCGAGATCGATGTGTCACGTGATCTAAAATTCGGGTAAACTTTCCGCCAGAGCATAAACTCCGAGGCACATCAAAAAACTACGAGAAACATTCAAACATCGAGATGGAATGATTATTTGGATGCCGGCGTTGATATTGACGGTACTGGGGTTTGACGGGGCACATCGCTCGGTGAATCACACCCGAACTAAAGGGCTAGAGATTTGTCGGGATTATTGGACAGCTGTATATGCGGGTTTGCCCTAGTATTGGCTACCGGACGTCTACGAAACACCTCCTATGCCGTCACTTCGCTTCGTCTCCAGAAACAGTGAAAAGAAACCGATCTTTCAAAATTGAGTAACAAGAATGCTATCATTTCTATGCAAAACGGAGTTGTTTGCATCTTGTATTGTTCAGTCGGTATAGAACTATACTGCCTCCGCCATACGCGCGGGGTCAGTTTCATATATCGGTCCGCCATCAGCCGGCAAGAGCACAAATTGATCACGTATTGAAACTCCTGGTCATAGTTTGTTGTGTCCGGCAAACTTCCTGCCGGATCAAAATAATAAGCAGAGTGGTGGTCCATGTTTCTGCCAGGGTCGCACCAAGTGTCCGGCTCTGTGTCATGTTGACAGGAATATACGAGAAAGGTTTGAAGCCGGCCTGCGCATACTACCTGCGTGGAGAGACACAGACAACCACAAACGTAGTCTAGGACCGGGACAGCAGTTGTATGGGCACAAGGAAAGGGGGTTCTCAAGGCGCCTCTTCGGCTACCAGTGGGAGGTGGCGTGAAGTTCGCGCGTTGCTTGCGTATTGTACTTTAGCAAACATCTGACAAGATGCAAGGAATGTCGTGGACAGAAGCCATGGCAGGGAGAAAGAAGGATGATCAGGTGGAAGATGTCTCAGCAACCGGTACTATTTGTTTCTTCCCCCCTGGGATGTCAACGGCGTACAATAAAACATGTGCCCGGCGCCTATGGTAACCAGCCGGTGGTTAAGTGCCCTGACCGTACGGAGTATCCCAAGAGATAGATACATCGTCACTCCCGTCTGCAGTTCCCTTCAGCATGGAACAGAGTAACCTTCCACTGCAGAAGCGAAGGCATTGCGAAATTAGACGAAGAAACCGGGTGAAGACATATAGAGCGATGAACAACGATCTATATCTCCGCCACCCCTTGGTCCCATTTCTGTCGGTGAAGAGAGTTTTATCAGTTTTTTCTCCCTTTACAGGAAGATATACGGCAGTCGGTATGCCCATATCAAACTTCTCACGGAGGGCAGCAGGACATTTTCCTGCAGGAGAAAAGGAAACATGAGCATAGCCATGGAAGCGAGGTAGTACCA